CTTACGCGTGCGCGTCACAGTGAGCGCCGAGGGTTTGCACTTCATGCTTGTTCATTAGCTAACCAGTCTGGACCCAATGTGCGTCCAAGTCCATAAGAATTGATATGGGGTTCTAGGCGCTAATACTTCAATGACATCAAACCCTGGCTGTCCAAGGGTGCTAACACTACAATGTCTTAACCCCGGCGCGCAGCGCAGGCGAGGGTACTTAGTTGGGTTTGTCTGGTCTGTCCGGTCTGTCGTCTGTTCTGTTTGTTACTCCTCATCTCACTTCTCGAATGTCTTGCTCGTCTCCAAACATGCTACATACTTTAACGGGCAATGAAGGTCAGAAAATAATGTAATGTGATATCCATAATCAGTGGGATAAGCACTAAAGTCACATGTGTCACCTTGGGCCAACTCAGCTAGCCAAGTGAGAAGCTATAGGTGCTGGCACATGCTGCAATTATCCTACATAACATAAAAACAAAACGACAAGCCTTTACACCCTGCATTATGTTGCTGTTAGCTACATACACACAAAGAATTCCATCATAATGTCACTGGGATTGTAAATTCAACCATCTCACAATCTGAGTTATCAGGAGGTATTTGCTGCAAAGATTTAAACATGGTTTTTGAACATATCCAGAGACCATTCCAAAAATCACACAACACTGCAATTTGGTGAAGAGAGTAGCTACAGAGAGTCATAAAAAAATTATAACAGAGAGGGACAAAATGAGAGAGAGAGAGAGTGTGGGAATATGCAGAGGGAGGCAAAAAGGGGGGAGGCTCTCACTCTATTGCCTCAGGACTCAGGAGTAATGATGAAGCTCAATTAATAAGCCGCATGATATTCATAGAAAGGATCCTTCAGGCGAGAGGTGTAGGCCAGGAAGGCCCATCATCGTGTTTTTGCAATCTGACCATCTCTGAAGGAGACGACCTGATGAATCTCTGTGTACATGCTGATAACGTGTTGACAAAGCAATAACAGACTCTAGTCTTAACAGCCTGATTCAATCTGTCATGTTGTGCAGTGTGTGAGCACATGTGAAACTAATGTGCAGCACTAAAATTTCCTATATAACGGTGTTAGGAAGAGGAGGTGTAGGGACTGAAATAAACAGCCACGTGGTAAAAAAATATCAAGTTCAGTTTATTGGGTGATGTAAATTCACGATTTTGTGAAATTTCTCACGACAAAACTTTGGGTGTACGGTGGGTCCCACGAATATCCCGTTTATATATTCATATAAACCTGAACCAAAAAACCCATTTCCTGTGCTTTCCATACATTATACCCGTTTTTAATAGAATACAGATTCCTTCATATCTCTGCCTATTCCATAGAAAAATTGGGCATTTTTGGTTCTTGCCCGCTTATGTCATTAGCGCATGCGTATTAGGCAATTCTACAAAAAAAGCCTTGAGCGGAGTTTGTAACTCTCCATTCTCCACCCCTGGCTTCCATTAGCTTATGCAAACAGCTAGGCTAGCCTAGCCTAGCTTGCTAACAAACTGCATTGTCGCTAATCTGGGTTCAAAGTGGTACTTACTATACACAGTATACACATTGTATTAGCCTTTAATTAGGTCAGATACGAGTGTATTCACATGGTTGTCAGTCTCCCCGACTTGCAAGTGCGATATTACAAACACAGGATGAAATCAGCAGCACAGCATAATAATAGTGCCATATAAAGATGTATGAGGTGGCGTGCTGTCTTGTGTGTGGGGGGGGGGGGAGTCCATATCGGGGGTCTTGAGGATCAAGACTGGACCATTTCATCTCGTGTGCTGTGCTCTTCTGTGATTGGTTTTCGGCTTTCTCCGACCTCAGCCTCCCCTCCTCTTGAACCACTCTGACCCCAGACGCCAGCGCTTAGTCTTATCAGGTCTCAAGACCTTGTCTCCAGACGAATGAATGCCCGCTTCGCTGCTTGTCTCCCACCCTTCACCAGATCCTTCTACCCCTGTTGTTTTGAGGCAGTTAAAAATTGGCCATGAACTACTATACATACATAGTTGTCAATTCGGCATGCGCATAATGCATAACTGTGAGTTACCATGGCACACCCACCATTACGGCTGGTTGGTAACTGTGTCCTACGTCTTCTTCGTAGCTGTTGAATGGACAAGAAGGCCCGTGTTTATGAAATCCGGTGGCAGGTCGCAGTAATGTGAAATTTGGACATTTTGAGGTAGCAGTGGTCCCAGTTTAATATCATACCCGCGGTGCATCCAAACAATCAGACGAAATATGCGGGATATCTAATGCAGGAGCTATGTGTATACTGGGGTGAGTATACTGTGTATACCAATGTATCGTGTGAACGCAGCAATGCGTTTGTTTAGCTTAACTCTAATGAAGCGAGATGGTTTACATAAGTCTAAATAGAAGCAGTGGTAGAATGCCGAGTTGCAAGTTGTAGAATAAAATCCTAATTACGCATGCTCGACGTAGGACAATATGGCGGGAAAATCCAAAATTGCTCAAAATTTTTCTATGTACTAGGCGGGATATGACAACGGAGTAATAATGTATGGAAAGCACGGAATGGTTTGGATTCAGGTTTGTATGATAATAACGGGAATATTCTATTAACGGTATGATCTTAGGTGGGACCCACTGTATTTTGGCCGGACAGACAATGCTCATATTTCCGGACTAGCCCCCGCCATTCCAGAGTGTTTCAACTATGATATAACGCATACGTGAGCCACTCGTGATTGTCCAGGAGACTGACGACTCGCATGTGCCTCTTCATGTAGCTCGTACACGGCCGTAGGACCCAGGCAGAGCAAAATACAGAGCTGTCAGTCCACTCTACTCGAAAAATCAGGAGATCGACAGCATCATTGACGTTGCCTTGAGCGTTAAATGGTTGCTACTACACTGATCTCTGAGATAGGGTCAGCCCCTGCCTTGAGTAGTAATTTTTTGTTGTTGGCTAACATCCTCCTTCTGTTGGCGGCAAGAGAGAGAGCTGACCATCATTATGGTACGGAAAAATTATTAGAAACTGACTTCCAAGCATTTGTGGCCTCACTCATACCATGTCTTGATTTTCCCTGGTGCAACCTCAGTGAGAAATGAACGTCGTGCAGCCTTTTCTCTGAGTGGCCGCTGATTACATGCATTTGTCTTGTGCTTACATACTCGATGTTCTCGCAAGGGCACGCAGGCTTACAATGTTACCTAAGTCCAACTGTGTGACTTCTGGTTTCATGCCAGGAACCAATCAACATCACCATTAGCACAGTTTTTGCAGAAAGATATGTGAAATCGACACACGCCTTTGTTTAAGAATAAAAAAACACATGCACAATATGTTGTGCTTTTGGTCCCCAGCCTTGGTACTTATCATACTAATTATGGCCTAATTACACGGGACGCAAGGCATTATTCTGGTACACATCTTACACTCTGAATATCAAGACAGAGATGTTGGGGTCTGACAGAAAGTGTCTCTGTGAGATCAGTCCACAGATCTTGAGGAGATCATGAGAGCGGTTAGCATCTCCTGGTAAGGGAAGAGAGAGCACGACATTAGATCACTATTACCGTGATCAAACCTGAACATGATGATAAGATACCATGCCTATCCATATAGCTACATAATACAGTGGAACCTCCGAACAATGAATAATATGAGGCCAACGATTTTGTCTCTTGTACCTACCAATCATCCAGCTTTTTGCTTGATAATCAAGCAAAAATACTGCCTATCCCACCAGAAAATTGCCAAATCCCTGTTTTTTTTGCTTACCTGTGACGCACCATGCCTATATATTTTGAATGGACACACAGCATTTTCATGCAAAAATACTCCAAATCAAGCAAATTAGACACATTTCTCAAGCAAAGGTTCATCTGCAGGTTGGTAGGTATGATATTAGAGAGGTTGTCCCTATCTCGGAGGTCAAATACACAAAGGTATTAGCATGGGTTAAACTAAGTGTCCTTTGTATAGAGGTCGTCCCTATCTCGAAGTGTAAGAGGTTCCACTGTACTTAGTAGTAGGTCACCTGGTTCTGTAGGTTGAGGTCAGCTCCAGCTCTGACCAGCTCCTTCAAGACTGACAGATGGAACTTCACTGTGGCCAATATCACAGCTGAGTCTCCTCTCTATGCAGTGAATAATAGTAGCAGGTCTATGTCAGCTGAAACAAAGTGGACATAGGGGGTGGGCATTGTGAGTTACCCTACTTTCGGCTTCAGGTGGACCATTGAAAATCTGCCTTATTGCAAAAGTTAGCTGTGAGAAAAGTATGCCACAACCACAAGTATGCACAGCATTAACTCTCTCGCCAGTTCATCGCTGGCACTTTAGTTACCACGTTTGAGTGTTTGACAATCATTGTTCTAATTGACACTGAAATTGCTCTCAGTCTAGCAAACTACGAAACCACCCCACCATATGTGCCACAACCTAATTGCATCGTTGTTGGAGACACTATACACATACACCCTGCATTAGTCTTAAGACTTGCTCAGACTACACAGTAGTTCAGGCATCAGAAGATTTCACATTCACCCTCTGTTTTAACTTCTGATGCGTCCATGTTATGCTAACCTGCTGTGGACCTGCTACTCTACATGACACCATCCCTATATCTTTGTGTTATATATATTAGTTCACAAGTAAAGTTTACTATGAGACAAAGATATAGGGATGGTGTCATGTAGCTTGGTGCATCTTTGCTGTGTAATGACCCCTTGTTTCTTCCTTTTTGGTGCTTCAAGCCATCCCTATATCCCTCTTCATTTTGAAGAAATGATTTTCCACTTGTAATTAGTAGGAGCATTCAGGAATGTTCTAGAGGGTCATACGTAGGTTTAGGATACATAAAAGCTACAGACAGTACATTCGTATGTCGAGGGTGGGGGATTACCTGGTGAGTCACACATTCTCTTACCTCATTCTGTAGGTCAGTGTTAGCTCCAGCCTCTAGTAGCAGTGAAACAACTTCAGTCCTACCTTGCCAGACAGCTACCATCAGTGGAGAGTCTCCTCTCTGTGCATGTAAGTAACAGTTGTACTTTGGTTTTAAAGGTATAGGTTAGAAAATGTTAGGGTGTAAGATATGCACTCAAGCAATTTCTTTCAAAATTCCATACCTTATCCTGAATGTCAATGTTAGCTCCTGCCTTCATTAGCAGTGAAACAATGTCAGTCAAACCCTTCCTGATAGCCAGCACCAGTGCAGGCTCTCCGAGCTGTGTGATGAAAAACATTATTCCATACTGGTAGTGGCCTCAGCGCGCATTCGCGGAGAAGGTTATAGTTTTGTAAGTGGGTTATATCTGTCTCTATGTCTTTCTGTCTGCTACCATGTTTTCTGCAACAAAGTAGGCAAAAAAACGATACTAACAAATTTAGCGCTACACTTGCTTCATTGTATTTTCTAACTACACTGCGTTCAGCATGAAAACCAAGTGAACAAGGCAATATGAAAATTACCACTCACTTACCTCGACTGCTGTTAGCATAACGTGGACGCATCAGAAGTTACAACAGAGGATGAATGTGAAATCTCCTGATGTCTGAACTACTGTGTAGTCTGAGCCGAGTCTTAAGACTTTCTCCGAACCTTTAGTAGATAGCATGCGGGAGTCGATACACGTTGTTTGTTGCGACTTCTTGTGCCTTTAACATCAACAGATCAAGCGGAGGTAAGCCTTTGCTAATTAGCAATTGGCTTGTTTACTTGGTTTCCATGCCATAACTTCTGAACGCGGCACTTTTATGAAAAGCAATTTTAAAAATGGAGCCAGTGTAGCGCTGAACCCGTTGCCGTCGCTATTTTACCTGTTTGTTGCACGTGTGGCAGAAAACGTGGTAACAGACGGAGGGACAGACAGACAAACGGACATTACCAAGTACTGTAACCCTCGCTGTGCATGTGCGCCGACGGTTAATAATGCAGCTTAAATATCGCTATTGTGGCCGCGTGCATACGATTCTCATGCAAACGTGTTGCATTCATCATCATTACAGTACATGTTCACCATATTCTGTAGGTCAGTGTTAGCTCCAGCCTCCAGTAGCAGTGAAACAACTTCAGTCCTACCCTGCCAGACAGCTACCATCAGTGGAGAGTCTCCTCTCTGTGCCATTTAAGTAACAGTAGTACTTTGGTTTTAAAGGTATAGGTTAGAAAATGTTAGGGTGTAAGATATGCACTCAAGCAATTATTTCTTTCAAAGTTCATACCTTATCCTGAATGTCAATGTTAGCTCCTGCCTTCATTAGCAGTGAAACAATGTCAGTCAAACCCTTCCTGATAGCCAGCACCAGTGTAGGCTCTCCGAGCTGTGTGATGAAAAACATTATTCCATACTGGTAGTGGCCTCAGCGCGCATTCGCGGAGAAGGTTATAGTACTTGATTTGTAAGTGGGTTGCGTGTATATCTGTCTCGTCTGTCTGTATGCTACCATGTTTTCTGCCAACAAAGTAACCAAAAAAACGATAGTAACAAATTTAGCGCTACACTTGCTTCATTGTATTTTCTAACTACACTGCGTTCAGCATGAAAACCAAGTGAACAAGCCAATATGAAAATTACCACTCGTTTACCTCGACCGCACCCTGCCTGTTAGCATACTGTGGACGCATCAGAAGTTACAACAGAGGATGAATGTGAAATCTCCTGATGTCTGTAGTCTGAGCCGAGTCATAGCAAGACTTTCTCCTAACTTTTAGTAGATAGCATGCGGGAGTCGATACACGTTGTTTGTTGCGACTTCTTGTGCCTTCAACATCAACAGAACAAGTGCACCCGGTCGAGGTAAGCCTTTGCTAATTAGCAATTGGCTTGTTCACTTGGTTTCCATGCCATAACTTCTGAACGCGGCACTTTTATGAAAATCACAATTTTAAAAATGGAGCCAGTGTAGCGCTGAATCGTTGCTGTTGCTATTTTACCTGTTTGTTGCACGTGGTGGCAGAAAACGTGGTAACAGACGGACGGACAGACAAAGTATGTGTTGCATTCATCATCATTACAATACATGTTCACCATATTCTGTAGGTCAGTGTTAGCTCCACCTTCTAGCAGCTGTGAAACAACTTTGGTCATACCCTTGATGATAGCCAACATCAGCACAGAGTGTCCACTCTATGTGATGACAGACATGTGTAGTAAGACATTCATGACTTTAAAATCCTAGAAATATTCCATGTGAGAAAGACATTTTCTGAAGCAAATATTATTTGAACCTGTGTGATGACAATGACAAATAAAATGCATTCTTGGCAAGCGAAGTGAGCACTTTAAGTTTTTGTGTGTTAGAACGTTTTCGCACGTACTTGTAGATGTGCAGTGCCCATCGGTTGTATGTTATGAATGTATGGAAAAACCAGAGACAACTAGGCAGGCTTGCAATGCAAACTAAACACAGGATAAGCTGTAAATTAATTCCCACAAATCTTTTTTCCATCCCCAACCTATTATAGTCCATATTATGCCCAGGGGGGGTCCCAGGCAAATAATTCGAAAAATTATGAATTTTATTTTCCATCATAGATCCTAGCTAACAGAGCCATATCTTGCATGGTTAAATAGTTATAGTTAGTAAAAGAGTCCCTCTACCTTCACTTTCCCGCGAACTGGCCGAGAAAACTATCTTATGTAGCCGACTTTTGCCCGCTCCGTAGCTCCCTTAAAAATCACGCAAAAAATTTGATTTTTTCCCGTTTAAATAGAGTGGAAACTGCACTTTGCCATGGTAAAGCACTAGCGGAGAACTCTTAGAGAGCTACGGGTTAAAAATAAACAGTGAGGTCATACCTAGAGCTGCCTAAACCTTTGATCTACCCGACAATTGTGCGGTTCGACCAATCAGCTACGCGGATTGCGCCGGATACTATGGTAACACGTGACGTAATTGTCTCAACATTTCGAAAAGACAGGATGGCTTGATGGGACATGCCGGGAAACAAGCACCGCACGAGGCGGAGAAGGCGGCGAAAGCCTCCAGTCAGGTGTCCTCGACAACAGGAAAGCTTTGCGCCACGCCTGAGCTCGTCCACAGCCACCGCGACTACGCGTACTCCGACGGCCAGCGAGAAGAAACTCTGTAAGTCTCCTCACGCACAGGCGTGCTGTCTACTTGATGATCTAGGCCCAACACAGAGTAGCTATGAGAACTATGATGGTCAAGGGCGAGAATATTAGAAGTTGAAGGGCTGAAGGCGGTGCTGAGACAAATCTGTATGTTGCAGAAAGTGTGGTACTGGGTCAGTAATGTTCAAGGACAACTTTAGCCGACAACAAGGCACCAACAATGCCTCTTTCTTTGAGTGCAACACCTGTTCTGCTGTAACTCCTGTCCCTTTTTCTACTGTTGGTTCTTCTAAGGTGTTTTCACTCAATCAAAAGATGGCTTTAGCTAGCAAAATGGCTGGGGAAAATCTTTCAACTTTGAAAACTCTGATGGTGCATCATCGCTTTGGAGAATCACAGAACGCCTTGATCTGAGTGTCAGTGGTCTGTTGTACCTACTTTCTAAACAGTAAAGATATCAAAAAAGCAAATCCAAGGAAAGTGCCAGGGCAAAATATCTACGCAGACTGGCACGGAAAAGATTTGACGACAGAAACAGACAGGCCGAGGGTGTGATGTACGCCTCGGGTGCTTTCAGTGGCGACGCTCCAGGGCCTAGCAAACGTCCAAAAAAGTGACATACCTTCTCTTTTGTAATCTAAGTGTGTTTTGTTATGGTATTACACCTGTTGTGTATGTTGTGTCACTGATTTTTCTCACTTTCCTTTCCGATAAAGTTTGCGGCAACTTCGCACAGCGTTTGCCGAAATCATGATTTTCCGGTCTACGACAATTCAAAAAAACTAAACTTTGACATAATCATGACAAACTATATATATTTAGAATCCTCTCAATGAGATCTGTGTAATGACATTGAGTTTTTTAAGCTTAGAGGTTGTATGTGGCATGTATGCAGGTTTATGTGTGTGAATTCTGTTCCATTTCGAAAAACGCTCACTAAATATTTATCAGAGTAGATACACAAAAAGGGCCAATGTAGTTGCACTCTCCTAAGTGTTGTGCACTTAACCTCCTAATATGGCTTGTGGGTTATGTCTGTTATCCAAACTATGAATGTCCTTATAAACCCATTCCAAAATTAGCAGTCTCTATTGAAGCAGCTGTTTTGTGTTAATCTGATGTTAACCACGCCTCTTATTCCTCCCATGTAATCCACTAACATGTCTAAAAGCATTGTTTCAGTTTTAACTTCAGATACCCAATGACATAGTCACTATGAAATTAAATGTATTGGACTCTAAAAAGGTCGTTTTTGCCTGGGACCCCCCCTTAATTTACATAATGATAATTAAGCTGTTTGTGTGAAATGTCTGCCCTGTTTGCCCAATCCATCTGCTCTACCTACGCCTACACCTTTGGCAGTTAACAGTCTGGTTCAATTTATTGCAGCAACAGAAAAATCACAAAATCTAAACAGAAAGCTACCTCATTCTGTAGGTCAATGTTAGCTCCAGCCTCTAGTAGAAGTGAAACAACTTCAGTCTCACCATTCTCAGCTGCAAGCATCAGTGAAGTATATCCGTGCTGTGTGATGACAGACATATGTAGTGAGACACTAAACAGATGGTTAATTTACAGAAGAGAACCTCCAATCATGGAACCTCTTTGTACGTATGGTATCGGTGCTGATTAAAACACAGTAATGGGGCAAGCTTGGGACAGGATAAAATGGTGCCCATTAGGAAAATGTCCATACACACGTGAAATGTGCAAAACAATAACTGTGCGGTTTCTAGCTTATGTTTGTTCCACATTAATGGCAATCGACAAAACTGTAAGTTATCTACAAGGATGCGTTCCGACTCCACCTACCTATTCGTGTGTCTCTGTGCATCCACTTGTTGTCATTTACGGGTTTAACCCTCGGCGCGCAAGCGCAGCGAGGGTTACAGTAGTTGTCCCGTAAGTGTGTCTGTCAGTCCGTCTGTCCGTCTGTCTGTTACCACGTTTTCTGCCACCGCGCGCACGAAATCAGGTAAATAGCAATATGATCGGGTTCAGTGCTACACTGGGTTGATTTAAAAAAAGGCGATTTTCGTAAAACTACTGTGTTTTAAAGTTATGGCGTGAAAACCAAGTGAACAAGCCAATATGTAAATTAGCACAGGCTTACCTCGACCGCGTCCGTTCGCTCTGTGTGTCCTGAAGGCACAACAAATCACAACGAAGGGCATGTATCGACTCCCGCATGCTATTTACTACTGTAGCTAGCCCGTGCCAGACTCTCCGCGAGCTACTAGCGGGATACCACGAGTAAAGGCATAAAAAGCCCAGCCCATCAATTAGTGGTACCGCACATGCGCAGTTCGCCGAGGGTTTGCACTTTAGTGCTATAGGTAGCTTGTAATCTACTATATGATTGGATTGTTATCCGGTTTGTACACAGACAAGGATGGATCTATTATGTACATGAGGTTTGCCATTGTGTTGTACTGTGTTGGAGATTTGAACCCCTAACAGCTGGTAGCCCAGTTGGTAGAGCGCTCTCGCCTAGGCTGCACACATCAATGAACATGAAGTCAGTGATCTGCACTGTCGGATTTTGCAACAGTAGAGATATTCAATGCATCTTTACAGTATATACTAGCCTCGTTCCCAGGCTCTATCTCCACTCTCTGTGAGCCATGAATGACCCACATGAATCATGCTGAGGCGAACAGAGTAAAGTTACTCGAATGGAAGTCTCTACAACGGAAGTTTTGAAGTTTTCTACGACGGTATTTGTGGCCCTAAAAAGCCACCATAGATAATTGACAGAGGAGAGACACTCAAGAAAAAACCATGTGGTGTATGCTCCGCCGAGAAACTGACATTACGCAAGCGCGTGCATGATCGAGCGCACACTGCACTCGCGTACGTGCAGTTGGCTTTTTCGCTTGTTTTCATATCTCTGGTACGCAGTCGTTTCAGGAAAATCGCATTATTACTTTTTATGTTTTCGTAGCCCTGAAGCTTCTAGTGTCATTCATTGGCCACCTCGTAGCCTGCAGTGTGCGAACTCGCGTGGACAGACAAACAGACAGACACACACACAGACCAAGTACTGTAACCTTCGCTGTGCATGTGCGCCGAGGGTTAATTACCCAATTCTGCAGGTCAATTTTAGCTCCAGCTGCTAGCAGCAGTGAAACAACTTCAGTCCAAACCTCCTCAGCCGCCATCATCAGTGCAGATCTTCGATCCTATATTTTATGATGTGATTAGAGAAGTGTAGTAAGACACTGATGACTTCACAGAAAAGCACTAATAATGCACCAGATGATTATACAAGAACTTTAAAGAGAGGAAACTAACAGCAAACACAAATAACATGAACTGCTAACCCACAATAATCTACGGATGATTCATTAACCGCTATTTTTAAACAGTAGTGCAAAATGTACCTTACCCATATATAATTCACATCAGCTCCAGCTACAATCAGTGAAGTTACTGCCTCTATGTCTCCTCTACCAGAGGCAGACCGCAGCTTATCATCCTAAAGAGAGAGGGAAAAGAAATATAAAGGTGCATACATGTAGCACAGTGGTGTGTGTTTACAGCTTTGCAAAGGAACTGGAACACATACCAGGGTGGTGAGACGTTTTCCATCCACAGTCACTTCTGTCAAGAGATGCTTGTTTCTGAAGTCAGGAGTCAACACCATCACAACCATCCGACACACCTCCTTGTGAACATGCAGCACCACAAGTACAGAGCCCTCGTCTGGGTTATCGATGTACATGCCATAGGACTCCAGAGATGCATTCTCCTCGATGGACTCCTTCAACTCTCGGATTTCATAGAGCGAGCACTCAGATGGTGACTTGCTGATCTTCATGGTCATGCGGATGAATCCTTCGCTAACTTTACCACTCGGACGAGCTGAAATGGCACATAGGTAGACATCGACTGTTGTGGACTTTTCAAATGCGACAAGAGAGTCACGATAATTAGTCATTCTTCCCCTTAGAGTATGACAGAACCTCTTGACGACGTGGAAGATTATCTCGTAGTTGGTGTAGTTGCAGTAGCGACCGAGGATAAGAAACAGCTTTTGAATAGTTTCGGCTTTCAGGATATCGTCTTCGTTTCTGCTAAAGAAGCGAACGTGAACTTGTTTCTTTGTGACAGGCAGGTCCAAGAGGTGATCTCGGAACTTACGAACAAACTTTGGGTCTTGACTTTCTCTCTCTGAGAGGGACTCTCGTGCGTCAGATTTCAGGTCTGAAAACTCTTCTTGCAAATGCTCTATACTACCCTCGGTTTCTGCTACCCTTTGCTGGAAGATGTGGTCGGTATCGTAAGGAGGAGGAAGAACAGGAGGGGGAGGAGGGAGAGGAGTGAGAGGAGTGAGAGGAGCGACCGAAACGGATGTACTCGGCTCAGCAGAGAGAGGGAGACATGATGTTGAAAGGACGGAGGAAGAGTCACTGCTGAGGACTGGACCTCTCGGGATGAATTGAGACTCAATCTCAGTAGCCAAGGAGTTTTTGTTGATTTTTCTAACTCCAGCAACAAGCTTGGCCCAACTGGCATCGGGGACCATGTCCATCCACGTCTGCACAAGGTGGACTTTTTGCATTTCGCCACTGTAACGTTCAGTTATGTTATCAATGTCTTTGACGGGCACGCCCATTTGGAACGCTAGGTCCCTGGTTTCCTCCAGACTTAGTTTTCTGATGGCATCACATACTTGCAGTGTAGAAGGGTTGCTGGAGGAGGCCATTTTGAGTCATAGGCTGCTCTGAAAAAGCAAAAACATCACATTACACACACACTCAAGGACTCAGTTAACCAGGACTACCGGTGCGTTGAAGCGGGCTCAGTGTTGCATAGTCCTCTGACAAAAAAGCGGCCCCAAGCCCCAAACTATATAGTCCGCGCAGCGACTGCGCCCCTTTCTTAGTATACACAGGCCGGCGCCGTGCCGTGAGACCCCCGCGCTTCTTTAGCACACACATCCTCTCTACGACTTACCTGGCAAACTCCTGAACAAAGTAACCTCGTCTCAAACGCTCAACACCAACACCCGGACCCACACCCCCACAAGACACAAAGGCCAAGGGTCCAGCAGTACTGTGACGGTCATAGTGCAGTGGAGCCTGTGGTTTACTACCTGCATTCTTTCATGCATTCCATAGTTAACTCCCCTTCGTCCTGTTGTGTTGTGATAGCAGTGCCCGGGGATTATGTACTTCCACTGATACTTCAGCCCTGCTATTTGTCAGGCCGCAACGCAAGACTCCAATTGTTCCGTTCACTGAGCTTCCTCCTGATGCGCCGCGCCTATATACCTCCCGAGCTTTTCCTCATATAAAATCATCTCGCTCGGACATGTCAACATACGTGCTGTATACCAGGACCCTCGGCCTAGGAATGGCTTCAAAAATGCCTCTGTGTCAGTTTTGGTTGGAGCTCGCAAAGAAAGGAGTACCTGTGAATGAAAGGGGATGACTTGGAATGAGAGGCACGGAGGAGATGGAGGAGTTAAATGGAGACAGAACCAGTCAGAGTGAAGAGAACAGCAGGAGTAAAGGTGTAAGAGAAAGTTCTTGACATATTGATAATTGCGTCACCACGGACTGGCACATCATAGAGCCAGTAATTGTGAACACGTACAATTCATTTTCCCACTGCTGATTGATAGAGTTTTGTACGCTGTGTACATTATAATCTTTTACAAGAATGACAATACTCACTACGACACACTAATCTATGGTAAAAAGTATAAAAATTGTTCGTAGCAACACTATTATAATATAGTATATATAGTAAGAGTGCAGGTTATAACTTTATTGTTTGTGGCCATAATGTGCTCTCGGTGCAGTGGGCAGTTAGTTATTTCTCAAGGAAGTCCAAACAGGCTCTCTCAGTTGAGAGGGTGAAGGCTGCCGTGACTGGCCACTGTCAGGAGCAGCCGCCATGTCCTGTAGGGATATCACGGTTGATGCTGTAAAGGGCTCCGAGGGCCCAGAAACGTACCGAACATTCTGCAACACTCCAGTAGCTCCCATGTCCCGAGCGAAACTATCTCTTCTTTCCTCTTGATCACTGTCTCTTTCTTGATTCTCAGCTTCAGATACAGAAAGACACTAGAAACACTGGCAAAGATCTGGTTGGTCTTGATCCTGACTCTTCTCATTGTTACGCAGCCGCTTCAGCAAGTGCCAGAGAACGATCCCAATGAAAGTGATGAAGGTGATGCTCACAGTTGCATTGACTAAATTTTCCTGATCGGAGAACCTCTTGGCATTCTGGATGGTGTATGAAGCTCCAAGTGTCAGAGCAATAAGGTTGATTCGGCAGTAATAGATAAGCACCATGTATACACCTTGTCTTTAAAGATAATGTTTTTTTCCAGGTTTCAAAACATAATTCTCATGATGCAGCACTTGGGGATAGGAGGTGCTTGAACCAGCACACTTCACGGGAGAGAGTGCAGGGGCAAAGATTCAATAGCATTCATAGTGATTGTGTGCAAAACATGCCCCTTCTAGCCATGATAAAACACTGGGAAGAAGGTAAAATAAAATGACAATGCCCTGTTGCAAAATGATAGTAGGTCAGGAACTGGAGAAAGAATAATGAACTATGCACACCAGGAAAAATACTGTCACATTATGAGCTTTCGGTGCAGCAGTTGTGCTGCTCTAGCACGACATAATTACCTTTACAAAAGGAACAAGAAGACAGCTACACCGAGACAGAAGGTCATTCATAATATATACTCCCTGCATCTTTTTGTTTCAATATGTTGCTAGTCTTGAACGCATGAGCATATCTACGCATAAAATGTGGTTATAAATGACTTTCTGTTGCAGTATGTACTTGCATGGGAAAAGTGATGCTGGGTCTAGATTAATGTTTAAGTTCAGGTCAGGCACGCATGGGCTAAATGAGGAACTGGGCAGGCATAGGGGGAGGGAGGGGGTGAAAGAGTGCCTGTTGTGTGATGATGAGTGTGAAAGTGTGAGTCATGTGTTGTGGGAGTGTCCAGCATATAGTAGTCTTAGGAGCAATTTCTTAGTTGCCCTGCAGGGGAAGCTTGGGGATGATGGGTTTGAGCATTTCCAGTCGCTTGATAGTTTCAGGAAAGCATCCTTTATATTGGGTAGTGAACTGTGGGAGGATAATTTTGGTTCTTTGCTTGGCCTTGTTAAAGATTTTATTTTGGATGTTTGGGAGCTAAGAAAGGTTAGGTTATACGGCGATAGTCCCCACGTACAACAAACCCAGTCTCAGATTGTGTCTGGGGAGCTGCAGGGTGTCGCTGGTGGAAGGGGTGAGTTTAGGTGTCTGGGAGGTGAGACAGACACCTCATGTTCATATGGTGTATGTTCGTGTGTTAACGGTTCCGCCCATTGCTCTGGGTGCGTGGTCTATGGCCCTAGTGCTATGGCAGCCACCTGAGTATTATTATTATTATTCTGTTGCAGTATGGGTCTCTTCTTGTTCCTCTTATTTGACACCAATCCCATCATTGGAGCAGTGGTCATGAGTGTTTCTGTGTTACTTAGTGTAATAGCAATTATGTTACAGTGTAATGTGTAATCACACATGCGTACTGTCGAATATTCTCGCCATGTACACGTGGACCTGTGTTGTGCAATCACGCATCGACAAAATTAATAATGAAGTGGTAGCTAGCAACGCAAACACAAACAAACCAACTACACCCAGGACAGCTCTTATTATTGAAGAGCTGCCCTAGCCCTCATGCACGTGCTACTCTACATCATTGTATCTGTGTGCACCGTGCAGGTCGGTGTCACAATATATAGCGTTGTAGAGTCAGTCAGTGTCAGTGATCATTATTACGTCAGTTGTTTGAACGTGTTGGGAATGCAGTGCTCTGCTGTGAGCAGCGAGATTTCGCGCCTTATCAAGGAATGTAAAAGAGTTGTAAACTTGGCATATGCATGCCTATTGTTTGCAAGACTGACATAGTAAACAAAATTCTTTACAACAAAGACAACTGCTAAAAGCACTTTTGAATCAGTGCTACAATAATGAAAAGCACTGAAGTGCAAACCCTCGGCGCAGAGTAACGCACGCCCGTAATAATTATCCGCTGAGGCCTGACACCACTACTCTAGCTCAGTGTATAAACAAGAACTCATAATTATGAAGATTAATGATTTGGCTTTCGTGAACCATTCGCTGGACGCTACACTGACACACTTGTAGCAGTGCAGTTGTCTTCAGAATACATGATTATACACTCAAAATTTTTCATAGTGCATTAACGTACATAATATTTGTGGTAGCTAGACACAATGGAAGTATAATACCATGTCCCAAAGGATTTGAACTAGTGCATCTGAATTGAGTGAGTTTAGTCCCCCGTCCTCCTTGCAAAGGATTAAAAGGCCATTGGTGGCCAAAAGTCAACGTTAATTTCATATTGGTGGTATATATATATAGCACGACAGTGTATGTACCAAGCGGAATGCAGAGCAAGCTCTATCTAAGTCCCAAGTCTAACCAGCCTGTCTTCACACCACCTTCCGATACATTCCCATGCACTTAGTACAGATTCCCTTACATAGGCAGGGGTGTAAATCTCAAAATAAACACACTATTAGGACCCAAGTACATAGAGTCAACATAGTAAACTGATTAAAGTATGACGTGTGTGCAAGAGACATGATCAAAGCATTACAGCATTATCCAGTTCATTTGGTGGGCACCATCAAGTTTCACTCCTGGGATATTTTCTCCTCGGGCTGAGGGCCTCCAGCTCTCGGGCCCGCTGTTGGGCCTCCTGCTCTCGGTCTTCTAATGCTGCTAACCGCTTCTTCATACTTTTGAATTCTGATAACAGCTTCTTCATACTTTCCAATTCTTTCAGAAAGTGAGGTGTGTCGATTAGGGTTTGGGCATTTGCGGGGGTTAGTTGCTCCTTCTGCAGTTTTGCAACCTTGTTCACTGTTGCCCAGGTCTCCTCCCCAAGGTAGTTAGCCCATTCACTCCCCACTGCATACCTCTTGTGACGGAAGTGAGTTAGGAGAGACATGGCGAGGCACACCGAACAGTTGAGGGCGAGCCCCTGTTGCCATGCTAGCGCAGGGCTGATAAAGACGATGGGGAGTGGCACAGAGTCAAAGCTCAGAGTGGAGAAGGCGAAAGCGTACATACTCTTGATCGAGGAGCATCCCAAACAGTGCCCTGTATGTACTGTCCATTACAAACTGTTGACATGTACTGCGTTAGCTGCACTGCATCCTTTAGTTTGAGTTCCCTCTTTGCCTCAACAGGAACGACATAGAAGGGGTCCTCTTCTTGTTCTCCACTTTCCCTTTCACCACAGCCACTGAGGGTGTAATCAACTTCCGACTTCCGCCCCTTTTGCTTGCTCTTCTGGGAGTTGGTAGCGGGTCGGGGTCAGGGTCGGACATGCCCAGTACGGTGTCCATGCCCAACACTGAGCAATACTGTTCGCAAGTGCACCCATCAGGGGTCAGCGTCATAGACGACGCGTGCGCCACCCTCTTCAACAGCGGAGTCAGGAGGTAGTGGCGCACCTCCGATTCTGTCCTCCCACCTCCCTGGCACATCATCAACCCCCCCTAGCTCAAACCAGAGGGCGTCGAGGTGCGTCCGCCAGAAGTGGGAGTTGTGGAGCGTCGCTGGTGTGGTAAACAGGCCATCGACTCCTTGCCAAATGTCGTCGACGGCAACGTCGTAGGTCTTGGCAGAGGGTGGCGGATGTCGCGAAGACGCGGCCCAACGGGACGAGTAACCCTTACCCGGGTAACTTATAGCCCAGGCCTTCAGATCCGGGTCTTCGGCGAACAGGGCTTTGACCTGTTCTCGGCTCTCCGCCAGCATTTTCTCGCCCAAATCTGGCTCCATGACACGACTGCCAAAACCGACTAAACCTTGACTATTATAGCCAGATGAAAGGTATCTATTGTCACTGGTCACGGGTGTTCCGTCCACGTCATGGTTGCTGCGCGTGCGCTGCATGCGGGGGTGGAAGTGTATGTGGAAGTATGCCACCAGGGCTTTTAGCTGGTTTGTGCAAGTAGACTCTGTGTTTTGATACTCTTATCCTTTCCCACAAAGTTAGTTCATTCCCTCACCTTAACTTTTAACTTTGTTGTTTTGCATGCCTTAAAGTGCAGTTTCATGATCACTCCGAGCTGTTTGCCCTAAAGGTAACTCAGAGAACATCCAGTAGCCCTGTGCAAAGGTGTCAATCTGGAGCTAGGGCACACCCATCACTTCATGCAAGTGGGGTAAGAGGGTGGAATGTTGTTGACTCTATGTTGACTCTATGTACTTGGGTCCCAATAGTGTGTTTATTTTGAGATTGACACCCCTGCCCATGTAAGGGAATCTGTACTAAGTGCATGAGAATGTATTAATCAAGAACGAAAGTTGTGGGTTCCGAAGACGATCAGATGCCGTCGTAGTCCCAACCATGGCGGATGTTAGCGTCTGTGGTGCCGTCAGGAATAATGATCACTAATAGTTTTCATGTGCATTGCTCCCAAAATACAAACTCTTCTCTTTAGCTAAATATCTAAGAACTACGTCAACTATTAACTACAGTATCGATAACCGCTTTCTCACTCAGAACGAGACTTGATGGTTGACTGCGCATGTTGTTTCTTCTCTGGCACACTCTCTGCAGCAAACATGAGAGAGTAGCAGAACCAGATCCCCAGAGAAATCAAGAGTCTTTGGGTTCCGGGGAGAGTATGGTCGCAAGGCTGAAACTTAAGCTCTTTCTTGATTCGTCGCTACCGATTGAATGGTTTAGTGAGACCTTCGGATTGGAGCCGCCGCGATGGGCAACCGCCGCGGCGGATTTCGAAAAGTCGGTCAAACTTGATCATTTAGAGGAAAAGTCGTAACAAGGTTTCCGTAGGTGAACCTGCGGAAGGATCAGGTGGTGTGAAGACACGCCGGTTAGACTTGGGACTTAGATGGGCTTGCTCCAGCTTGCTCTTCATTCCGCTTGGTACATACACTGTCATCCTATATATATACCACCAATAAAAAAAGTGCAAACCCTCGGCGAACTGCGCATGCGCGGTAACGCTAGTTGTTGGGCTGGGCTTTTAGTATGCGTTTACTCGTGGTCTCCCGCTGGTATATAGCTCGCAGAGAGTCTGACACCGGCTAGCTACAGTAGTAGATAGCATGCGAGAGTCGATACACGCCCTTCGTTGTGACTTTTTGTGACTTCAAGATGACAGAGCAAGCGGACCCGGTCGACGTAAGCCTAGCCTGTGCTAAATATAAGCGCATGCGCATTTTCCACTACCTGAATTAGCCGTACAATGCTGGAAGCACCTCTAGCTCTGCAACGGAGCATTTTCAGAGAAAACCGCACAAATTCTGACCTTCATGGCCCGTTAAGTAGGTAGTATCGTTTGCGAGACGAAAAAACATTGCAGAAGTGAGATGTTGAGTAACAGACAGACAGACAGACAGACCCAACCTTCGCTGCGCATGCGCGCCGAGGGTTAATTATATACTTTTAAGTTATGATGATACAGAGGTAGAAGCAGTGTTGCTGTGAAAGTGAGTCAGTCTATACTTTTTACAAAAATGGAACAGAAAACAAACACCATCCCTATATCTTCGTGCTATATATAGTTCACAAGTAAAGTTTACTATGAGACAAAGATATAGGGATGGTGTCATGTAGCTTGGTGCATCTTTGCTGTGTAATGACCCCTTGTTTCTTCCTTTTTGGTGCATCCCTATATCCCCCTTCATTTTGAAGAAATGATTTTTCCACTTGTATAAAAAGCGTTGTAGAGTCAGTCAGTGTCAGTGATCATTATTACGTCAGTTGTTTGAACGTGTCGGGAATGCAGTGCTCTGCTGTGAGCAGCGAGATTTCGCGCCTTCTCAAGGAGTGTAAAAGAGTTGCAAACTTGGCATAATTGTGCATGCCTATTGTTTGGGTGTCTCTTTACTTGCAAGACTGACATAGTAAACAGAATTATTAACAAAGACAACTTCTAAAAAGACTTTTGAATCAGTGTTACAATAATTACTGTTAAGTTATGATGATACAGAGGTAGAAGCAGTGTTGCTGTGAAACAGAGTAAGTCTATACTTTTTACAAAAATTGAACAGAAAGTAAACACTCCTGAGTTTTATAGCAAAGTACAAGTTAATGACGGGAAGGAGAAGAAGGACAATAAAGGCAAAAAGTGACCAGTAGTTGATAAATCTTGCATTGAGAGAGCAGGGCTAATCAACACCAGATCGTTGGCACTGGAAATAATTACCTATGGCCCTGATATTTTGATCAATATATTTAATACCCAGTGAGAATGTTGAAAGTTGAAGTACTCCAAAGAAAAGGTAGTACAGAAAAACCACTAAAATTTGACTGCGCATGTGCTGCAAAGTATAAGGAAAGAATGCAGTATAGAACGCCATTTAATTAAAACCTTCGGCTCTTAGCTAAAGGAATGCAAAAACTTCAGCATGCATGCGGAGTGAGGGTGAGCTAATTGCTACTTGTGTCTGTCATGGGACTTACATCGCTAGATTCTCAACAATTATAATGGTTGGCGTTCCGAGGCAGACTAGGTCGCAGAGATAACATGCGAGGGAGCATAAATATTTATTACATCGATTATAATATGCTCAAGTTTTATTCTTGTGTGCATACAGAGGGTTTTACACTAAGTGGATTTGATGCACCACTTCTACTTTGAGCTTCTTACCTGTCTTATTCTCCGGAGTATCAAAAGCAACAAGGTTGTTCCAATTGAGAGAATTACTGTAGTTGGAGCTATATATAACAGTGTAGAAGATTGCATCAACATCCCTTCCAAGGCAACCGGTAGGAGGAAATCTGGTGATCACGAATCCTCCATTAAGGGCAATGGCAAGAGGAGCATAGACAGGAAGTATAATGGCTGCAACCACGCATGCGATGTGAACATATCTAGTTTTATTAGTCTGGTCATAATATCTGGAGTGAAATGGAAACTGCACTTTCCAGAATATTGCACAGATGTTGAATATCCACCACAGAGAAAGATGAATGATGGCATATGTCTCCATTATGCCTGCAACACAATGTCACACAACAACTTATACCTCATTATTCTAGAACAAATGAAAAGCACTGAAGTGCAAACCCTCGGCGCACTGTGATGCGCACGCGTAAGTAAACGCATGCGCCGTACAAATAATTGATGGGCTGGGTTGTTTTACTCGTGGTCTCTTGCCAGCTCGCGCAGAGGCTAACTACACAACTAGATAGCATGCGAGAGGCGATACACGCCTTGCGTTGCATCTTCTGGTGCCTCTGAAGTACGCAGAGCACGCGGACCGATCCGACCGCGGTAAGCCCGTAACCGTTGTGTATTTGCAATTGGCTTTTTCGCGCTCTAGCTTTGCAACGGAGCATTTTAAGAGAAAACCGTTTGAAATTTCTGACCTTCATTGCCCGTTCAGTAGGTGGTATCCTTTGTGAGACGAACGAACACTCGAGAAGTGAGATGACGAGTAACAGACAGACACACAGACAAACCCAACTACCGTAACCCTCGCGGAGAGTCTGACACGGGCTATAGCTACAGTACTAGATGGCATGCGGGAGACGATACGTTGTGACTTCCTGAGCCCCCAAGGTACACAGCGAGCGGATCAGCAGTGCGATTTTGCATATTGGCTTTTTCGCTTGTTTTCACGGCATATCTCTCGAACGCAGTCTTTTCAGGAAAATCGCTTTTTTTCCTCTTCTGGCTCGCGTAGTTCTGAAGACGCTGGTATTCCTAATAAGCCGCCTCGTAGCCTGTAGTGACAGAATAAGCATCGTCACTCAGACAGACAAACCAACTACCGTAACCCTCGCTGCGCATGCCAACTCTGTCACTTCCTAAGCGGTGCTGTAGCAGTGATTTTCAGGTTATTCTTTTTTGCTATGCGGGACTAGATATCACCAGAGTGTGGGTAGGCTTTCACATGGTGTCTACTAATGTAAATGTGGTGGTATTTATAATAATTATATGCAAATACATTGATATCTAACGACACCAGCAATTATATTTATTTTTCGTAGGTAGATGTATAATATATACTTTTAATGACATTTTTTGCTAACTTTAGAATGATATTTCCAACAATTCTGGTCTTCTACATGACAATCTCCATTCTAATTGTGGGTAAGTTCATCATAGAAACTGTCCTACCATGACCACATTAAGTAGAACTTGTGCTTTGGCTCATGTATAATATCTATGTACATATTATATACTTTGTTCTAGAATTCATTGTTCTGCTTTCGTTTATGGATCGGCCAACGCTGTTCTGTGGTTCTCCTGACCTAATACAGAGTCTACGATCATCAACAGATTTCTGTAAAATCAATGGCAAGTTTAAAAGTTGTGCATATGATAATATATGGCAGTAGATGATTGCTTAATCAAAACGCTGCATTAAATGACAGTAGCTAATACGAACAATAATTAATATAAGTAAAGGCAAAAGATATGTTGATATCCAGCCAGGGCACAAGAATCTAGTTGGCATTGGTGAGTAAAGTGAGCCTACCTCGTCATCTGACAACCACTGTACGTAACGTAATGTGGACCTCATTTGTGAAAACACTTGCTTTGCAAACGATTGTGGCATTAATTAACCCTCGGCGCGCATGCGCAGCGAGCTACTAGCGGGAGACCACGCGTCGGCCGTCGGGCATGCACAGTTCCCCGAGGGTTTGCACTTTCACTACCCTGCGGCGCGCATGCGCAGCGAGGGTATATCGTAGGGAGAGATGTCTCAAAACTGACAATTGTCGAGCAATGTCGATACCTGGAAGGGTGTATCGCACAAACTTCACAGGGGAAGTTCTTAACACAACAGTCTTCCAAAGGGGTTTGCAGAAGAGAGTCCTCACCGCCGACAAAGAGTTCAGACTAAGGGATTTTTGCACTCATCAGTCCCTTAAGCACATCGCTGTTCCTGAGCTGAGCTGTCATGGCTCAAGATATGGGACATGGCTCTAGATCATGGGGTAAGAGGGACAAACGCCGCTTATTCCTTTTTCAAAGCTCTCTCTCGGCCATTATTCGGCGACAGATTCTGTCCACACTGTAACAAGATCGAACTTACCTGGAACATCTTGTACAGACCCACAAAGAACTGCAGTTAGGATCTGTGGAGGAAATAACTGATACCCTTGTATCTGCCTCCCCATCTATCATTTATATTGGGAGAAAATTGCTCTCTTCATCCATATAATTATACCTCCTATCTAAATGCGTGTTATATATTTTCCCCCCGTGATGTTTCCCTGTATGTCTGGAGCACATGAACTTTTTTAACTTGAACTACGTGAAATATAATTATGGTAATGGTTCTGTGTGTCTGTCTGTGTTTCTTTTACTCAACATCTCACTTCTCCAATGTTCGTAGCTAAGTCTCACAAACGATACGACTTACTTAACGGGCAATGAAGGACAGAAATTTAGAGCGTTTTTTTGCTGAAAATGTTCCGTTCCAAAGCTAGAGCGCTTCCAGCATTGTACGGCTAATGCGTATTCAACTATTTTTTGGTCTGGGGAAAATGCGCATGAGTTGCAAATTTGCACATTCTTACTTCAGTCATCGACCGGGTCCGCTCGCTCTGTGTACCTTGGAGGCACAAGAAGTCACAACGGAGGGCGTGTATCGCGACTCTCGCTACTACTGTAGCCCGACTCTCTACGAGCTACAGCCGGAAACCGCGAGTAAACGCATACTAATAGCCCAGCCCAACAGTGGCGTATATAATGGGCAGCTCGCCGAGGGTTAGCACTTCAGTGCTTTTTATTATCGTGTATAGTCAAGCTATAGACAAGAAATAGATAAAGTCCATATCAAAATACCCATAATCATGTGACAAAGATTCCTTGAAGAAAGTGCTTATAGAAAAGAGTTATAAGCAAATTACAAACCGATGCACAGTCAGTTAGAAAGAAGATGTACATGAAAGAGTGCAGAAGCAAACATTTTAACCCTCTATTGTATTTGCTTGTTGCCGTGACTGTAATAACTTAGGGACCGAAAACTACATTAGGCCCAGAAACAAAAATCTGGTACAGCTATACCTTCTTCCTGACAATTAAAACTGGCAGGCACCAGCAGTGCACCATAGCTGGCATCAACATTGTCTACCAATGCACTAAAGACACCTTAATGATAAGGATCTTTTTGATGTCATCAGTGGTACTGGTGTCACTGTAGTACTTGTCCACTTTTTGTTTTAAATGAAGGGGATTAGGGACATCGCATGTAGCTACATAGAGCAAGTAACAGCCATGCCACTGACAATCACATTCACTTAATAGCAAGGTATTATGGGTGATGATATCCTGAGAGAAAATAATATAAGAGATGCTCCCTCTCTGTGTCACTCTCTCCTTAAAATGCAGATAGACATGGTCTGTTCGTACCACCCAATGGTTTGCTCACTCCTTCCAACTTGCAAACTCTCCAGCAATGCCATTGAACGCAGAATAACGAATCAGTTGTGTGTGGATCGAAAAAGATTTTCACAAAAATGGACATGCTTAGAAACTTTGGTGTGTAAGAATTCAGAACTGATGCCACAATTAAGGCCCAATGCCCTCTTACAGTGATCACTCGTTTTATGTGTACCACACAATCATGATACATAAAAATTGTATTATACAACCACATGAAAAATCCTACGAATTAAAAGACTGATTGTGAGCACACTTACACCTCCAAGCACATAACACAATCCTTTGTTACATGAGAATAATTGTGGTATCTAGTGGTCGCACCATTTCCACTCTGTCAGTTAAAAATAGCGGTAAATGTCTCATGCTCCACTAATGATGGGGTTGGAGATATCAGTGTGCTCACAATCAGTGTGCTCACAATCAGTCCTAATCCCATCTCTCCTTTCCCTTGTTTTATAACAAGATCTTTCATATCAGCAATCGATATCGTCTTGACTTGCAAGTGTATATATACCCAGAAGCTGTGCGGGGGAAAATAATTCATTAATGAATGAGAGATTATGCAATCATAGCCATTTCTTAGGTGCATGTTTTTTGACCGTACGGATCACGACGTAGACGTCAAAGGTGAACGCGGAAGTTAAAAGTAAACTATAGTTATATACAAACAACAGAAAAACGTGATAGCCTCTGTGCCTGCTTATCAGTTGACAACGCTTTTAAGATTTATAAGGTTAAAATGGACAGTAATTTCCCTCTCAAATCACTGTGGCAAGATACAAAACTAACCACAAACTTGTACACTTGTGAACTTTGACCCGGTAGCCGGGCAGTATGGCGGTCGCCAAAACCACCCACGCATCCTCAGAAGTGGTCAGTTGGCACTTGGATGTGGCAGTCGGAGCTTTGATGTTCATTTCATCTACCCTTTCAAAAAGTCCGGATTGAGTGATAAATGTCTCAGCAGGCACAGAGGCTGTGCGAACGTCTGCAAAGCGGCCGCCGGGAGAGAGATCACCATTAGCGCGCATGCGCGCATGAAAGTTGGTGTGCAGATGCCTCTACATATCCCTCTCAGAAGTATATCAAAGCTGTTGCATCAAGTAATGATGGGAGCTGGCTGAAGCTATGGGATATGGCTCTAGAGAGAGGTGTCTTCGGCACAACCTGCGTTCAAGCTGTACTTAGGTTTTTCTCCCTCTACGCCCACTCAGACGGTACATGCCCTGCTCCTAACTGTTCTTTCTACGTTGGTTCTGAGTCTCCCTGTGGCACGGCTGTTCCGCGCGCATTGAAATCCGGCACTCTGTTCAGGGGTATAATTATACGTACACGTACGCATATCGCAGTTGCCTCGCGCTAATACACTCGGCAATTATACACAGAGCTAGAGGTCAGCAGCCGGCAGAGCCGCGCCCCGCATTGCATGCGCACAGCTAATTGATGGGTTGGGCCACGCAACTCGGTTCGCGACCGTGTCAGTTTCTCGCTCTCGAACGCAGTCGTTTAATTTGTAAAAGGATGAGCATCACTATCTGTACATTGTGGCTGTGTCTGACCCTATTGGTCTCATCCACTGGTGCAGCTACTGGCTCTCAGCAAGTCAACTATGTGACTCCTACGTCGCCTGCTGGTATCCCTTGTCCCGGACAGCCCTGCCTGACTCTGGACCAATATATTACCAGCTCCAGTACCTACATCATCTCCAACACAGTCTTCAAACTTCTCCCTGGAATACACGTCATCGCAAGGTCTTTTGTTGCACGAAGCACTGAGTGCATCACCATTGAGGGCGACACTAGTGGAAAGTCAAACTCTCGAGTACAAATCAGTGGATATTCTCTGCAGTTTATCAACACTGTTGATGTTTACATTATTGGAATAAAACTGATTGATGTAGGCATATCCCTCGAAGGCACAGAAAATGTCACCCTTTCTCAGGTGGTTGTTGATGGCTCCAGAACTGCAGTTAGTTTGCTTAACACCATAGATACCAACATATCTTGCTGCATCTTGAAGAATACCGGATGGACAGCGTTGACTTTGCAAAACACACATAATACCAGCATATGTAACACCACTGTGAATAACACCGGATGGAACGGATTGGATTTCTTCAACACATCAAAACACTGAAATATTGTATACCTTCATCAATAGCACCAGGTGGAATGGAATTGAACTACGACAGACAAATTCTACATCTATATCATGTTCTACTGTGAAAAACACAGGTTGGAATGGAATCAAGATTTTCAATTCTTCCACAACAAAAGTTACTGATATGCTTGTGAATGAAACACGTTGGAACGGAATTGAAATACGACAGGCGAACTTTACGGTGATATCATGTTCGACTGTAAACAGCACAGGATGGAATGGAATTGAGATTTTCAATTCTTCCCAAACCACAGTTAATTGCTCACTAGTGAACGAGACCGGTTGGAGTGGTATAGAGATCCACAACAGTACCCAGGCTAGAGTGATTGGTACAAACATCACAAATGCAGGCCGGAGCAGGCTGGATTGCAGGTATACAGACACGCCCTGTACTGTTGAAACGCCACCCAACTTAAACTGCAGCTGTAAGAACAAGGACATGTGTAGCTCAGCACCACTGAACTTGTTAACCCCAGAATGCGGCAATGAAGCAATTATTGATAGCATAGTGACTGGCTCGGTCAACTATAATATGACTCCAACCTCGTCAGTGTATGAGAGATCCCAAAGCTCAACATATCCTACACCTATGATGTCTGTGATTCAAGTAACTCCGGTCCCTTCTGTGGGAAAATCTTCCTCAATGAATTATTCATCACATCGAAATGTCCTCTGTAAATATTATTTCTCTGGGTGCTTGCTCATATGTGTAGCTATGCAACATTAGGTTTGGAAAGCAGCTAGAGCTTGTATGTCTGTGTATCTTTCCCTGTAGTAGTTGGAGTTTCAGGGTCAGTAGCAACAGTAATGTTGGAGAGATCCCAAAGCTCAATTTATCCTACACCTATTATGTCTGTGATTCAAGTAACTCCGGTACCTTCTGTGGGAAAATCTTTCCCAATGAATTATTCATCACATCGAAATGTCCTCTGTAAATATTATTTCTCTGGGTGCTTGCTCATATGTGTAGCTATGCAACATTAGGTTTGGAAAGCAGCTAGAGTTTGTATGTCTGTGTATCTTTCCCTGCAGTAGTTGGAGTTTCAGGGTCAGTAGCAACAGTAACGTTGGAGAGATCCCAAAGCCCAATATATGCTACACCTATTATGTCTGTGATTCAAGTAACTCCGGTCCCTTCTGTGGGAATATCTTCCCCAATCAATTATTCATCACATCTAAATGTCATCCGTAAGTATTATTTCTCTGAGTGCTTGCTCATAGGTATATGCAACATTAGGTTTGGAAAGCAGCTAGAGTTTGTATGTCTGTGTATCTTTCCCTGTAGTTGGAGTTTCAGGGTCAGTAGCAACAGTAATGTTTACTTTCGTCATTGTGGCAATTGTTGCTTGGATCTATCGTATGTTAGCTAAGCGCAATCTGTCAATTATAATAACGACTGTCCTTATTTGACAGGTAAAAATAGAAACAAAGGTAAGAGTAAATCGACATGTCACTTATTTCTCTGACCATGTTTTATGACTATATAGATGTTTCAGATGAGCACAACAAAAAGTGTCATGGTAACAATCAACTAAATGTAAAATGTTAAATTCACCACCATACTGCCCTCAGTGTATGAAGAAGTGTCTACTGCTAATCCGGCTCTACACCACGATCCAGCATATGAAAACCCAATGAGGATGAGGCTTGAAGAAAACCCAGCCTATGTCTCGACTCACTAGCTACTACAGCAGGTGTGTGTAGCTAGCTGTGCATATGATTCTATGTACATTTTCAAACAGGTCCTGAATCTGCTGGCATATATTCATTGCGCAAATTACACTGGTGTGTGTCACTATTAGAACCATTAGACCGTATGAACATAATCATTTACATACTTTTACATAGCAGTGTGCCTAAGCACCGTGTCTTTATTAATAATTCATAAACCACCATTTCCTCCTCGTGTCACATAGCTACCAATCATTAACACTACAGCTAGCCTCCACTTCACAAATGCACCTTGACTTTACTCACAGCCTTCACCCTAGCAATACTATGCAAGGAAGCATAATGCACATGCTCCTAAGAATCACATATAGTACCAGATGAACATCAGCCAATTATCTTTACCAGCTGGTAATTATTCGTTGTAATAGCAATGAGTATATGGCACATATGCATGGCTTCAATCCTCACGTATCATTAACCCTCGGCGCCCATGCGAAGCGAGGGTTACGGTATAGTCGTTCTGTCTGTGTGTCTGTGTGTGTTTTATTCAGGCACTACGGGCTACGAGGCGGCCCATTAGTGATACCAGCGGCTTCAGAATTACGCGAGCCTGAAAAAGAAAAGGGCGATTTTCCTGAAACGACTGCGTTCGAGAGCGACAAACTGACACGGTCGAGGACAGCGTTGCGAGGTCCAACCCATCAATAATCGGTGCGCATGCGTGTATTAGACGCGATCAACTGGCTCACCTCGACCTGATCCGCTTGTTCTGTGTATTTTGGAGCACAAGAAGCCACAGCGAAGGGTGTGTATCGACTCTCGCATGCTATCTACTACTGTAGCTAGCCAGTGTCAGACTCTCCGCAAGCTACTAGCGGGAGATCGCGAGTATAAACGCCAATAGCCCAGCCCACCATTAGCGGTACCGCGTTCGCCGAGGGTTTTGCACTTTAGCCCCCCCTAGCGTGATTCACCAGTCTGCACACCGGATGTGTAGCCGGCTACAAGCATCCACGAGCTATCTGCAATTTTCACTTTGTACCATAACCATTGCCATGCTTGTTTAAAGAAACTGTGGCATGAGCCATGCAAGGCGACCTGTGCACTGCATGCCAGTCACAAATTGCCTGCTGAATAACGAAAATTACTGACACTGTCTTTCTCATGGTCATAATTTCCCACAATTTCCGCTATTCAGCAGGCGGGGTTAGAGAGCCCGCTCCTCTGCGCTCCACCACACATCCGGCCGGCCGGCCGGCCCACTACCGCGCGCGCGCTGCTATATCTCTCTCTCTCTCTACTTTGCTGCGCCGCGCCGCCGCGGCGGCCGCGCACGTGCACGGTGGTGCGCGCATGCGCGCTACAGTTGAACTGTCTGCAGCTGACCTTTCACAATGCACAGTTTGTTATCTGACCCCTGTGGACTCTCTGTGCAATGTAGTCTCAGTTGGCTTTACCTGGCATTCCTCATGATTGACATTGTTTAACCCCAAATCCAGGACATCATACAATTATTTTTCCCTCTGTTGCATTGCGTTCGCACACATCAGTATTACATTGCTACTGTAAAACTTTAACCAAGATTGCAGTGGCTGTTGTTGTTCTGGTCTGTGGGAGAAGTCTACTGCCAGACTTTCCTTATGTCTCCTTCATGAGCCGGACTCTGGCCAACCATTCCTACGTGGACCTTAGTCTAGTGGGGGGTGATCCCAGTGGTAGTGACAGTGTTCAGTGTATCACTGACCTGGCCACATGTTGTCATTTTGCAGATGGTCATCATCGTGGAGACTGGTATTTCCCTAATGGAACTAAACTGCCTTTTACTGCACCCAATATTGATACCTATGAGGATCGTCTATCTCAGGGAGTTGACTTACGTCGTAGCCGTGATGTTAACTCACCAACTGCTGGTATCTATCGCTGTGGTATTCCAACTGATGCTGTCCATCATGATACTGATATCTCAGTGAGAGACACAGTCTATGTGTCACTGTATACTGCCAGTGGAGGTGTGTTACTAATGTGTTAACCAGACTTGGCATAGAATAAGTATATAGAGTTGGAATAGATCTGTCCATGACAGTGTATAATGAGCATTAACTTATTTAGCCACCTGCCTAGCAATATGTACCTACCACAATTAAATTATGGGATTTCTAAGACAGCGATGGCTATTATTGTAGTCCTTGGTTTACTCTGAGATGTTTTCTTATGACAGTCAATGTAACAATAGATCCAATTCCTCATCCACTGTGGAATACATGTATATGTTATTACACCTTTTGGAGTGGTGTTGCTGGTTTATCCGCCCGAGGGGGGAGGGCGGATAAACCGCAACACCACGACAAAAAGTGTAATAAAATGTTTATTACCGCTGATTGGTCGTTGCTGGGGAAACCGCGCGCGAAAATGGCGCATCACCCAAATAAGGCGATGCGCGTGAACCTGCGCATGCATAACGTGCCGTTCTATCGTACGCCGCTCAGCAGCCAGGCAAACACTATCGATGCTGACAGATCGAGGGAGGAGCGATTGAGGGAGCGAATGGCAGAGGCTTTCCGTTTGGAAGTCGAGGGTTGGGATTCTGAGACGTCGCTGCAAGACTCCGCGTCCGAGAGTAGCGCTCCTGGGGACGGGCCGTCAGCATCTAAAAGGCGTAGGCTCTCGCTGACAAGGAAGAGGGCTACGTGCACTACTTCCGCAGCTACAGAGAGGTTTGAATTTTTAGATGATGCAAAGAGCGAGGCTATCAGCAAGAAGTTTGTGCCTACGCCTTTTCGATGCCGACGGCCCGTCCCCAGGAGGAGCGCTACTCTCGGACGCGGAGTCTTGCAGCGACTCAGAATCCCAACCCTCGACTTCCAAACGGAAAGCCTCTGCCATTCGCTCCCTCGATCTGTCAGCGTTGACACAAGAACATCGATACCCAACCCTAACCACAGTGGATATTCACACCATTCCTTAGTTATTTACCCTAACCACAGTGGATATTCTCACCTTCTCACCCTCTTGGGTGGGTAGCTGATTTATTGTGCTAAAATAAACATAGCAACGACCTAGCAACGGGTAATAATATGTTTGTGTATGACATGCAGACATTGCTATTTTATCCACTCTCTTACCGGATGTAAGTCAGGCCTAGTATTATTGTAAACCTCTGTAACAGCAGATAGCTTTAAATTGTGATAGCTAGACTAGTTCTTGGAAAATGGCTCTAGCTGTTCTGTTGTTCCTGGGCTTGTTCTGGTCTCTGGTGTACTGCCAGACCTTTCCTTTCGTCTCCTTCATGGGTCAGACTCTGGCCAACCATTCCTATGTGGACCTCAGTCTAGTGGGGGGTGATCCCAGTGGTAGTGACAGTGTTCAGTGTATCACTGACCTGGAAACATGTTGTAGTGGTACTGATGGTCCTTATCGTGGAGACTGGTATTTCCCTCATGGAACTAGACTGCCATCCCCTACTTTTATCTTTGAGAGCCGTGGTTCTCAGAGAGTTGATCTACGTCGTAGGAACAATGCTACCTCACCAGTTGGTATCTATCGCTGTGATATTCCAACTACTGCTGTCTATGATAACACTGACATCTCAGTGAGAGACACGGTCTATGTGGGACTGTATACTGCCAGTGGAGGTGTGTTGTCTGCTAAATATTCTTGACCGCTAGCTACATGCAAAAAGACGAAGTTGCATGATATATTCCCTGAAAGACAATGTATGTCTTTACCTGATTTGACATTGAGAAACACCAAACAATTTCTTGTGCAAGGGCTGCATGTAGTAGATTGGTATATCCTAGGTGTAGTTGATTTGTTTGTTGTGCCTTTGCCTTTCTACCTCATAGTTTTCACATGCGACACTTGTGTTAAAGGTGATGTTTCAATTGCTGGAGGTGTGACGTATGATCCGAGCACACAACCCTCACCTATTAATGAAAAGGTGCAAACCCTTTGCGAACAGCGCATGTGCGGTACTGCTAATTGATGGGTTGGGCCAAGTTTACTCTGGTCTCCACGCTATAGTAGCTTGTGGAGAGTCTGACACGGGCTAGCTACACAAGTAGATACACGCCCTTCGTTGTGACATCGTAATACACAGAGCGAGCGGATCAGGTCGAGGTAAGCCCAGTTCGATTATGCATACATGTACAAGTGGAAAAATCATTTCTTCGAAATGAAAGGGGGATATAGGGATGGCTTGAAGCACCAAAACGGAAGAAACAAGGGGTCATTACACAGCAAAGTTGCACAAAGCTACATGACACCATCCCTATATCTTTGTTTATATTAGCTAAACTTTGCATATAAACAATAAAACAAAGGTGCTTATAAACAATAAAACAAAGATATAGGGATGGTGTCATGTAGCTTTGTGCAACTTTGCTGTGTAATGACCCCTTGTTTCTTCCTTTTTGGTGCTTCAAGCCATCCCTATATCCCCCTTTCATTTCGAAGAAATGATTTTTCCACTTGTTTCCACTATTTTTTAACAGCTTATGACAACACTGTTACAGTCACTCTGATGTTCATGGGTATGTTGTAGATAGGCTACCATAGACAAATTGTAACTGTTGAAAGTAGTAGCTAATGGGGCTGCTAGTGCCTGAAGCAGGGGCTAGATACCACATTCACCTCATGTATTGTCTTCAAACAAGGATGTAATTAGATTATTGCACATGGCTGTGGTTTCATGGGCAGGCTTTGGTAATCAGGCTACAACCTGGGGGGGGACAAACAATGAAGGCCCATTTGACTGAGCGCCCCGCAAGGCTCGCGTAACACCGCGCAGACTCTGGCAAGTTGCTCTTCGTGCAAATCAACAGCAAGCTAGCCAGTTGGAAATGTGCACACTTACTTACAGAAGGTACTGGAGGCTGAGAGTTCCTCTGCAGGTCTGCCAACTCGCCTGGTAATACGCTCGCAAGCGCATTGGACAACGCCCCTGCCTGGCGCATGCGCGCGGCTCACTGATGCTGAGTTAGCAGCAAATGGCGTTGTTCAGTGTCGACCATGGAAGAGCTCCATGATCTACCGTAGTGACTAGCGGCAAGAAAGAAACGATCGCTTGATGTCCGTGCACACCTCCGGCGAAATTGGAGACCTTCAGTGAAAAAATCAGTGCTTGAACTGGTACTGGTAAGGAGATAGCGGGTTTAAAGAAGAAGAAGAAGAAGAATAATTATGATGACACGAAAATCGTGAAATCGCGTATGAGCGAATTCTCGCGTGGACGACTGAAGGTGCGTATGAGGTCTTGGGGGACATGTATAGGTAGATATGGGCCCGTAGACTATTGCTAGTATGTTTTGAAGGCCTAGGGAGTGATTCTCACCGAGTTTTTAGTCGTTTTGTACGCGGATCACGTGAGATTTCACCCGTGTCATCCCTATATAGAGAGTCTACCGACTCTCTAATTGGCTTTTTTGCTTGTTTTCACAGCATGAACAAAGTCGTTTCAGGAAAATCGCCTTTTTAGTTTTCAGGCCCACGTAGTTCTGAAGCCGCTGGTATCACTAATAGGCCGCCTCGTGGCATGTAGCACCAGAATAAGCGTAAACACACACAGACAGACAGACAAAGCAACCTTCTCTGCGTATGCACGCACGCGCGCCGAGGATTAATAAGAACACAGACGGTTGACTGCCCACCATGTACCGTATTTCTTTGTTGCACCTACTGTACACAAGTGGAAAAATCTTTCTTCAAAAGTTTGTACCTCTACTCTTCACTGAATGGGAAAACCTGGTCAAGGTAAGCCATTTCTAGTGAGGCTTCCGCTTGTATTGTATACTATAACTTGCAAACAAAGTGCTTTCTCCCACATTTCTTTACCTTCATCTACCAGTGAATGTGCCAGTCTATTTGTGGTGATAAAAGTGCCCCGACAAGTGAAATGTTGGAATTGATAGACAGACAGACAAATAAAAACACACCAAGCACTGTAACCCTCGCTGCACATGTGTGGCGAGGTTTCAGCAACCCTTGCTGCATACACACACTGTGCTGTGGTGTGTAAGATATTGGATGCCTGATATACTTACACGTATAGCTAGGTGCCATACTATAAAGAATTTATCCAAGCTAGATTCTTTGCCAGGTGGCTACAGCCCATGTACTGGGACACCAAATTACAATTGCATGCAACTAATACGTTCATACGTTAGCTTTGACTTCACTGCAGCACTCTGTTTTCTAGTGCATTGACTTCCTACTGGTTGCTGACTTCCAAATATGAACTTACACCAAAAACAAAGACAAGCTAAATTAAAATGGTGCCATTATAGTTGCGAAAAGGTTGCCATAATAATAGGTGATATGTATCAAAAGACATAAGCAGTTTTTACAACATAGGCTGCACAAAAAATTGCATGGAACGGGGCTAGAGTTATGTTTAATCTCAGGTCAGGGAATAATGAAGAGCTGGTGAGGCATAGAAGGAAGGAAGAAGGGATGAAGGAGAGCCTGGTGTGTGGAGAAATTGTGAGATGCGTTTTGTGTGAGTTTGTATTACTGTGTGTAACACCATTTTTACCTAAAACAACTACCTAAACTATTTTGTAGATTTTTTTGGGTACATCAGCCAAGTAGATAATTGTGGCAACACAGGCTCCCTTGACGCTGGCTATGTACCAGGAAGTTTCACCACAAGTCACGTAGAGGTACTGCTTACAGACCCTGTCCACTTACACCAGAGATTGGCCAACAACTGTACACAGACAGAGACCAAATCTTAGGTACGATAACAGCAGCAACAGCGCCAACGCATAGACTAGAATCATGTCTTGTTTATCCCACAGCCTGCATCTACATTAATGTCACATTATTATCTCCCAAAGCCAAAAGAAAACTGCTGTATGATTTCAAGTCCTATCTAAATTTTCTTAACTACGAGGGGCACTCTAGCTGTTGTTGATGGTGCAGTCATAGATGACAGTAGCCCCACCAAGGACAATGGACAATGAAATGTTAAACAAGTCAATGTCTGCAGAGCAGTTGAAAACAGTCTGAAGGTGGTGTGACAGTGTGTGGTTGTGGTTACAGAGCCTGGTGCAAAACATGTCTTCTTTGATGTGCATTCTTTTGAAAAGAAAGAGCTGTCCCGGGTGTAGTTGACTTGTTTGCCTTGCCTTGCCTTGCCTTTCTACCTCGCTACCGCGAGAGGCGATACACGCCCTGCGTTGTATCTTCTGGTGCCTCCGAGGTCGCAGAGCACGCGGATCGATCAGACTGCGGTACAAGCCGTCCCGTCCGTTGCGTATTTGCATATTGGCTTTTTCGTGCTCTAGCTTTGCAACGGAGCCAACAGGATATTTGACAGAGAAAGCAGCAACAAGTTCCCCAAGCCATTGCTATTTGTGGCACTCTCTACATGTGCTGTTGAGACTCTACTGACACCTGTTTGCTGCACATGATAGCCGCATGAGGTTTTTATAATTTCAGAAGCACTTCCCCAAAGTGTACTCCGTTTGCTAGTGATAACTGTTAGGACTGAAATACTCAGCGGCTGTGATTGGGTGATACTTCACTTAGAATTGTCCTTTATAAACATGAATTGGATTGGCAATGTTTCATCCTAAAATTGTTTGCAGCCATAATATGAGCTTGCTCATGCAATTACTCATTCACAAGTGCCTACAGTGTGAAGTGTGATTGGCCGTTGTTATGTAAAATAATTAGCCCATAATACATATTTACAAGTAAATAAAAATTCTGCGAATTAAAAAGTGTGGAATATAGGGATGCCATAAAAAGCAAGGAGACAAGACAGGGATGACGTAGTGTATGTGATGCATTAGTACAGTGGGATGATGGTTACATTTTCAAACTGACATTGCTTGCTTGTGTAAATCTTCCTCCACACAAGCCCTATATTGTCGCAAAGCATGACTGTGCTCCCTCATAGAATGACTCATCTCTTAAGCACGTGATGCACAGGTGTTGCCCTCTGTGACAGCTCCTCAGTTTTTGGTTGTGACTGCATTGTGTGCAGTCTAAGACTTCGGTGTTGGCTCAACTAACGATGAGTTTGACAAGTAGTGTAGTTAGCCCGCGTCAGACTCTGTGCGAGATGGCTAGAGACCGGAGTAACAGCTAGAACTAAACCCAGCCCATCAATTAGTGATACAGCACATGCGTTTACTCACGCGTGCGCGTCACAATGCGCTGAGGGTTTGCACTTCACGTGCTTTTCATTAGGAAGGTACTTGACTTCCAGCCCTCAGCATTCAGTGATGAGACCTTATAGTTGCCATGACTACCAGGTCCACCGGTGCCACATTTCCTGGCTAATCTCAGGGACCTTCTCGCGGGGACATGATGACATCAGCTTTCATTCTCTCCCAGGGAGAGCCAGACAAGAAGAGGTAGCTAACAGTAGAAGAACTTATTACTGTATGATTACAGCTGAAAGAGAAAACTTTCACGTTTCGGTGTAATCACTGAGAACACTAGTGGATTCCTAACTTACACTTTCGTGTATTATATATTTTTTGGTATCTAGCTAATACTTTTTAGCTGTTAATATAAGGAAACCTCAGCAATTTTCACAAATTCTCGGCCCCCTCTACTTCAATGCTTGCTTAACACTTAACCAGCCATGGACATATACAATGTGTCCAGAGCCTCCGTAAGAATTTGTATGGGGGTTTATAATACTAGGCGCTAATACACTATACATCAATTTCTACTTATTTAAGCAGATCCCCATGGCGTCCAATGGATAAAGCATGGGGATCCACCATATCCATACATTGGCCTTCCATACCTGGCTTTCTCTTCATCTCTCTTCTTTCCCCTCTTCATTCAGCCTCAGCTCCGTCATATCAAGTGGTGGTCCCAGAATTCAGTCAAAGAGAGGCATTGTCAAGATTCAGAGAGGTTTGTTAGCGTGGGAAGCAAGCCTACCTTGTCATCACACTTCTTAAATGTAGTATCCAATGATGTTATCTGAAATGCACACACTTCTTTAATGTGTGTGTATAGTATCCAATGATGTTATCTGAAATGCTCTTTAATGGCTGTGCCAATGGTGTTATCTGAAATGCACACACTTCTTTAGTATCCAATCTACACTTCGTGCTCACAGACACTGCATTTGTACCAGAGATTTGGTCACAACTTTATAGAGAGAGACCAAAGCTTTGGCTCTCAGTTAACGACAGCAGCAACACAGCGCTAACACACAGATTAGCATCATGTCTGTCTGCTTCTTATTTTGCCAACGGTCTGCATCTCCTTATATCTCCCAAAGCACAAAGACAACTGCTGTATGATTTCAAGTCCTATCTAAGTTTTCTTAACTAAAAGGGGCACTTTAGCTTGTCTTGATGGTTCAGTCAATAGCTACATGTCAGTAGGTCTCACCATGGACATAGAAATGGTAAACACGTTAAAACCTGCAGTGAAGTAGGAACTAATCTGAAGTTGGTGTGACCAGCATGTGTCTGTGGCTGTTGTTTGATGTGCATGACTGACGATATTTTACAAAAATGACAACATGTGTCTGTCATCCATGTGTTCTTAGCCTGATATAAAAAGATGGCATTAGATGTCTGGCGGCACTTGTTCTGGGTCCTGAAATACGTATGACGTGGAGACATTAAGCAGTAGCAACCCCATGCAGTGCACAGCTTAGGTTGTTAATAAATTATTATGGGGTTACATTTATATTTTACATAACAAAGGCCAATCGAACTTCACACCGTAGGCACTTGTGGACGAGTAATTGCTATTATTATGCCTGAACAAATTTTTAGGATGAAACATTGCCAATCAACTTCATGTTTATAAAGGAAAATTCTAAGTGAAGCTGAGGTGAGTTTTTTAGTCCCAACAGTTATCACTATAGCAAAGAGAGAGTACACTTTGGGGAAGTGCTTCTGAAATGAAAAAGCACTGAAGTGCAAACCCTCGGCGAACTGCACACGCGCGGTATATACCACTATTTGATGGGCTGGGCTTTATGCGTTTACTCGTGGTCTCCACGCTAGTAGCTCGCGGAGAACCTGACACGGACGAGCTACAGTAAATAGCATGCGGGAGTCGATACACGCCCTTCGTTGTGACTTCTTGTGCCTTCAAGATAGACAGAGCAAGCGGACCCAGTCGAGGTAAGCCTGTGCTAATAATGCGCATGCCCAGTATTTCAGTCCCAACAGTTATCACTAGCAAAGAGAGTACACTTTGGGAAAGTGCTTCAGAAATTATAAAAACCTCAGCTATCATCAAACAGGTGTGAGTGGTCTCAACAGGACATGTAGAGAGTGCCACAAGACCAATGGCTTGGGAAACTTGGTGCTGCTTTCTCTGTACTCTTGCAGCAAATATCCTGCTGGCCACCAGTTGCCCAACCTGGCACTACTACAACAATGCCACAGGAAAGTGTGAGTGTGGATTCTGGCTACTCTGCAGCAGTGATGGCAACCAGGTGGAGATTGACAACAGCCGCTGTGCCACCTCCTCAGAGAGAGAAGGTGACTACTACATTGGCTTTTGTCCATTCAGGCACGTTATAAACAATACCAACCGATGGTATTCAGAGATGCCCAGCAATGCTAGCCAGTTGGATGAGGTGATGTGTGGTCCTTACAACAGAAGAGGTTTTCTATGTGGGGAGTGTAAGGAAGGCTACGGTCCTGCTGCTTTTGGTCTGAAATGCACTAATTGTTCAAGTCCCTGGTCAGGATATGCTATTTATCTTTATCTATTACTTGAGTTTGTTACAACGACGTTAATATTTATTGGATTGGCAATGTTTCGTCTCAAACTGACCTCAGGTCCCACTATTGGGATATGTGCTGTTCTGCCAAATTAATGTGATATACTTGGGTCAGCAAATATACATGTATGGATACATAATATCAAATGTATCAGTATCTCTGAAAGTATTGGTTACATTTTCAGTAACAATGTGTCAGTTTTGGAACCTCCAATTTTTCAAGACCATACTACCACCATTTTGTATCGGTGACAATGTAACTGGTATTCAGGCTCACATGCTGAATTTCATACCAGCGATCTACCCATTTGTTCTTATCATCACCTCCTGTATTCTCATGGAGCTGCATGCTAGAAATGTTAAAATGATTGGAATTCTGTCAAAACCATTTACGATCATTTTCAGTAAGGCTAGAATCACAGTAGTGACTGGTGATGCTGTGTTTCAAGCTTTTTCTTCACTTATTTTCCTCTCAAACACTTCTGTTCTATCTGCTTTATTTCAATTATCATACACTGAAAATGTGTACAACTCAACTACGATTCTTAAGATAAAAGTATTTTACCGTGATCCAACAGTGGAGTGGCCCAGTTACAAATATCTCCCTTACTTGCTTACTGGAGTACTTGTCTTATTTTTTATCTCTGTGATTCCCTCTGTCCTTCTCTGCATATACCCAACAAGGGTGTACCGACATCTGTCAAGGTTTCTGAGTGCCAGGAAGCGACTGGCCATCACAGCATTTGCTGAGGCTCTCCACAGCTGTTTCAAAGATGGTCTGAATGGAACTCGTGACTACAGAGCACTGGCTGGAGCACAGTTATTTATCATCCTATTAGGCACTGTGGCTATCATGTTTCTTAATTTTCTCAAGGCTCATAATTAGAGAGTCGGTAGACTCTCTATATAGGGATGACACGGGTGAAATCTCACGTGATCCGCGTACAAAACGACTAAAAACTCGGTGAGAATCACTTCCTAGGCCTTCAAAACATACTAGCAATAGTCTACGGGCCCATATCTACCTATACATGTCCCCCAAGAGCTCATACGCACCTTCAGTCGTCCACGCGAGAATTCGCTCATACGCGATTTCACGATTTTCGTGTCATCATATTCTTCATCTTCTTCTTCTTCTTCTTCTTCTTCTTCTTTAAACCCGCTATCTCCTTACCAGTACCAGTTCAAGCACTGATTTTTTCACTGAAGGTCTCCAATTTCGCCGGAGGTGTGCACGGACATCAAGCGATCGTTTCTTTCTTGCCGCTAGTCACTACGGTAGATCATGGAGCTCTTCCATGGTCGACACTGAACAACGCCATTTGCTGCTTACTCAGCATCCGTGACCTCGCGCATGCGCCAGGCAGGGGCGTTGTCCAATGCAGCGTGAGTTGGCAGACCTGCAGAGGAACTCTCAGCCTCCAGTACCTTCTGTAAGTAAGTGTGCACATTTCCAACTGGCTAGCTTGCTGTTGATTTGCACGAAGAGCAACTTCCCAGAGTCTGCGCGGTGTTACGCGAGCCTTGCAGGGCGCTGAAATGGGCCTTCATTGTTTGTCCCCCCCAGGTTGTAGCCTGATTACCAAAGGCTGCCCATGAAACCACAACTATGTGCAATAATCTAATTACATCCTTGTTGAAGACAATACATGAGGTGAATGCGGTATCTAGCCCCTGCTTCAGGCACTAGCAGCCCCATTAGCTACTACTTTCAACAGTTACAATTTGTCTATGGTAGCCTATCTACAACATACCCATGAACATCAGAGTGACTGTAACAATATATACAGTGTTGTCATAAGCTGTTAAAAATAGTGGAAACAAGTGGAAAAATCATTTCTTCAAAATGAAAGGGGGATATAGGGATGGCTTGAAGCACCAAAAAGGAAGAAACAAGGGGTCATTACACAGCAAAGTTGCACAAAGCTACATGACACCATCCCTATATCTTTGTTTTATTGTTTATAAGCAAAGTTTAAGCAGAAATTGATGTATAACATATTAACGCCTATATAGTATTATAGACATATATAAATTCTTATGGACTTATGGAGGCTCTGGGCATATATATATATGCCCGTGGCTTGCTAAGGGTTAATATCGAACAAAGATATAGGGATGGTGTCATGTAGCTTTGTGCAACTTTGCTGTGTAATGACCCCTTGTTTCTTCCTTTTTGGTGCTTCAAGCCATCCCTATATCCCCCTTTCATTTTGAAGAAATGATTTTTTCACTGTGTATAACTATGGATGGTGCAACTACATTTACTGTAGAACACTTCTTGTGGATGATGTTTGTATGTCTGGTCTCATATGGAGCCATGCCAGTCAGCAATTGCAATGTCTCCGTACAGTTTACACCTAATTCTGTTGGAATTCTCAGGTGTGTACAACAAATGTGGTGGTAGGATTCGTATGCCAGAACCTACCCCTTCAACTGACATTCATTACCATCTTTCTCTCACACACCATTCTGGTGGCTCTGTGGCTGGCTATACCTGACAAAACACACACTGACAAGTTTGGATATCGTTCCATGGCCTGGTGCAAGTGGCATTGAGTGACATGGCAAATGGTGTGAGACGGTGTGTCTCTCGCAGAGGTACAGGGGATATCAGGAGTTGCAAAGAGCAATGTGATACCACTGAGTGTGATGAAGAAATATTGTAGACATGACAAGAACACTCAGTGTACCCACATAACACTTTGTATTGTCTTCCATAATATACAGAACAGTGCTCTTGTGACATGGGAAATGGTGTGTGGACCCCACATGTGCCCTCCAAAGGTACAGGGTGCTACCAGAGCTCCTGGCACAATGACTAACTGTGTTGTTGTGTGTACTCATAGGGATGTCTCTCTCACATAATTAAAGTGACAAACCCTCGCGCACTGCGCATGCGCGGGTACCGCTAATGATGGTTGTGGCCAAGTGTATGCGCTTACTCGTGGTCCACGCTAGTAGCTCGCGGAGAGTCTGACATGGGCTAGCTCACAAGTCAGATAGCATGCGGAAAGTCGATACACGGCTTTCGTTTGGTGCTTCTGAGCCTCCAAGGAACACAGAGCGAGCGGATATTCAGATCGAGGTAATCCAAGTGCGATTATGCCTACATGTATTGGCTTTTTCGCTTGTTTTCACGGCATATTTTCGAACGCAGTCGTTTCAGAAATCACCTTTTTATTTTAAGGCTCACGTAATTCTGAGCCGCTGGTATCGCTAATAGGCTGCCTCGTGGCTTGTAGTGCCAGAATAAGCGTCAACACACACACCGACAGACAGACAAACAAACAACTGTAGCCATCGCTGCGCATGTTGCGCACGCGGCGAGGGTTTACTAAACAAAGACGGTTGACTGCCCACCATGTACCGTATTTCTTGCTGCACCTACTGTACACAAGTGGAAAATCATTCTTCAATTGAAGGTGGATATAGGATGGCTTGAAGCACCAAATAAGAAGAAACAAGGGGTTATTAAATTACATGACACCATCCCTATCTTTTTCCGATATTTTTCCTATACTATGATAGAAGAGGCTACAGCCCATGTACTGGGACCACAGTATCCCATAATAAGTGCACCAATTACAATTGCATGTAACTAATCCCTTCATACGTTAGCTTTGACTGCACTGCAGCACTCTGTTTTTTAGTTCATGATTCCTATGGTTGCTGACTTCCAAAGTATGAACTTATACACAAAACAATTTCTACACACACCAGGCTCTCGTACATTTCTTTTTCCTTCCCTCTATGCTTAACCAGCTCTCATTATTGGATTGAACATAACACTAGTCTGTTCCATGCAACTTTGTGTGTGTGGCCTATGTTGTAAAAACTCCTTACGTCTTTTGATACATATCACCTATTATTATTATTTATGACAACCTTTTTGAACTGTACTGGCACCATTAATTTTGACTTGTCTTTGTAAGTTGCGTTTTGTGTGAGTTTCTATTACTGTGTGTAAAACCATTTTACCTAAAAGAACTACATAAACTATTTTGTCGCTTTTTTGGGGTACATTGGCCAAGTAGATAATTGTGGGCAACATAGGCTCCCTTGACACTGGCTATGTATCAGGAAGTTTCACCACAAGTCACGTAGAGGTGACTGCTTACAGATCCTGACCTGAGATTTGCCAACAACTGTACATAGACAGAGACCAAATCATAGGTACGATAACAGCAACAACAGTGCCAACACATAGACTAGAATCATGTCTTGTTTATCCCACAGTCTGCATCTACATTAATGTCACTTACTATTATCTCCCAAAGCCCAAAGAAAACTGCTATATGGTTTCAAGTCATGTCTAGTTTTCTTAACTAAGAGGGGCACTCTAGCTGTTGTTGATGGTGCAGTCCATAGATGACAGTAGCCCCACCAAGGACAATGGAAACGAAATGTAAACACAAGTCAATGTCTGCAGAGCAGTTGAAACAGTCTGAGGTGGTGTGACAGTGTGTGGTTATGGTACAGAGCCTGGTGCAAAAAATGTCTGTGCTACCACAAGTCTTCTTTGATGTGCACGACTGATGATATTTTACAAAATGACAACATGTGTCATCCATATGTTCTTAGCCTGATATAAAAAGATGGCACTAGATGTCTGGCCACACTTTATTCATCTGGTCCTGAAATACGTATGACGTGGAGACATTAAGCAGTAGCAACCCCATGCAGTGCACAGCTTAGGTTGTTAATAAATATGTATTATTGGGTTACATCTAATTATTTTACATAACAACGGCCAAACACACTTCACACTGTAGGCATTTGTGAATGAGTAATTGCATGAGCAAGCTATATTATGCCTGCAAAAAGGTTTTAGGATGAAACATTTCCAATCCAATTCATGTTTATAAAGGAAAATTCTAAGTGAAGTAACAGCCACTGAGTATTTCAGTCCCAACAGTTATCACTAGCAAAGGGAGTACACTTTGGGGAAGTGCTTCTGAAATTATAAAAACCTCAGCTGCAGCAACAGGTGTCAGTGAGTCTCAACAGCACATGTAGACTGTGCCACAATAGCAATGGCTTGGGGAACTTGGTGCTGCTTTCTCTGTACTCTTGCAGCAAATATCCAGTTGGCCACCAGTTGCCACACCTGGCACTACTACAACAATGCCACAGGAAAGTGTGAGTGTGGATTCTGGCTTCTCTGCAGCAGTGATGGCAACCAGGTGGAGATTGACAACAGTCACTGTGCCACCTCCTCAGAGAGAGAAGGTGACTACTATATTGGCGGTTGTCCATTCAGGCACGTTATAAACAATACCAACCGATGGTATTCAGAGATGCCCAGCAATGCTAGCCAGTTGGATGAGGTGATGTGTGGTCCTTACAACAGAAGAGGTTTACTGTGCGGGGAGTGTAAGGAAGGCTACGGTCCTGCTCCTTTTGGTCTGAAATGCACTAATTGTTCAAGTGCCTGGTCAGGATATGCTATTTATCTATATCTACTACTTCAGTTTGTTCCAACAACGTTAATATTTATTGGATTGGCAATGTTTCGTCTCAAACTGACCTCAGGTCCACTATTGGGATATGTGCTGTTCTGCCAAGTTAATGTGATATACTTTGGTCAGGGAATATACGTGTATGGATACATAATATCGAATGTATCATCATCACTGAGAGTATTGCTTACATTTTCAGTAACAATGTGTCAGTTTTGGAACCTCCAATTTTTCACCACCATACTACCACCATTTTGTATCGGCGACAATGTAACCGGTATTCAGGCTCATATGCTGAATTTCATACCAGCGATCTATCCATTTGTTCTTGTCATCATCTCCTGTATTCTCATGGAGCTGCATGCTAGAAACGTTAAAATGATTGGAATTCTGTCAAAACCATTTACGATCATTTTCCGCAAAGCTAGTATCACAGCAGTGACTGGTGATGCTGTGTTTCAAGCTTTTGCTTCACTTATTTTTCTCTCCAACACTTCTGTGCTTAGTGCTCTTACTCAGTTACTACACACCACAAATGTGTACAACTCAACTATGATTCCTCAGAGACAAGTCCTTTACTTGGACTCAACAATGGAGTGGCCCAGTTATAATTACTTGCTTATAGCAGTACTTGTTTCTATTACAGTCTCAGTGATTCCCTCTGTCCTTCTCTGCCTATACCCAACAAGGGTGTACCGATATCTGTCAAGGTTTCTGAGTGCCAGGAAGCGACTGGCCATCACAGCATTTGCTGAGGCTCTCCACAGCTGTTTCAAAGATGGTCTGAATGGAACTCGTGACTACAGAGCACTGGCTGGAGCACAGTTATTTATTATCCTATTAAGCGCTATGGCTACCATGTTTCTTGATTTTCTCAATCATCATAATGTAACTATGGATGTTGTAAGTACATATACTGTACGTATACTTCTGTGGATGATGTTCGTATGTCTGGTCTCATATGTGAAGCCCTGCAAGTCAGCAATTGCAAATGTCTCCCTCAGTTTTCACCTAATTCTGTTTGGAATTCTCGATTGTGTACGTTACCTGTGGTGGTATGATTCTTATGCCAGAACCTACCCACTTGAACTGACATTCATTGCCACTCTTCTTACACCACACATCCTGGTGGCTCTGTGGGCAGGCTACACCTTGACCAAACACACACTGACAAGGTTTGGATATCAGTTCCATGGCCCTGGTTGCAAGGAGGCATTGAGTGACAAGGCAAATGGTGTGAGACGGTGTCTCTCCAGAAGGAACAGTGGATATCAGGAGTTGCAAGAGCAATGTGATACTACTGGGCGGTGAAGAAATGTTGTAGACAGAACAAGAAACTCATTTTACCCACATAACACTTTGTAATGGTCTTACAATGGTTTTGTTTATTGAAAAGCATAAAGTGCAAACCCTCGGCGAACTGTGCATGCGTGGTATTGCTAATTGATGGGTTGGGCCAAGTGTATGCGTCCACACTAGTAGCTCGCGGAGAGTGATATGTATCAAAAGACGTAAGGAGTTTTTACAACATAGGCCGCACACAAACTACATGGAACGGGGCTAGAGTTATGTTTAATCTCAGGTCAGGTAGAAGAGCTGGTAGGCATAGAGGGAAGGAAGAAGGGATGAAGGAGAGCCTGGTGTGTGGAGAAATTGTAAGTTGCGTTTTGTGTGAGTTTCTATTACTGTGTGTAACACCATTTTACCTAAACTATTATGTAGGGTACATCGGCCAAGTAGATAACTGTGGTAACATAGGCTCCCTTGACACTGGCTATGCACCAGGATGTTTCACCACAAGTCACGTAGAGGTGACTGCTTACAGACCCTGTCCACTTACACCAGAGATTTGCCAACAACTGTACATAGACAGACACCAAATCATAGGTACGATAACAGCAGCAACAGTGCCAACACATAGACTAGAATCATGTCTTGTTTATCCCACAGTCTGCATCTACATTAATGTCACTTACTATTATCTCCCAAAGCCCAAAGAAAACTGCTATATGGTTTCAAGTCATGTCTAGTTTTCTTAACTAAGAGGGGCACTCTAGCTGTTGTTGATGGTGCAGTCCATAGATGACAGTAGCCCCACCAAGGACAATGGACAACGAAATGTTAAACAAGTCAATGTCTGCAGAGCTGTTGAAAACAGTCTGAAGGTGGTGTGACAGTGTGTGGTTATGGTTACAGAGCCTGGTGCAAAAAATGTCTGTGCACACAAAGTCTTCTTTGATGTGCACGACTGATGAGATTTTACAAAATGACAACATGTGTCATCCATATGTTCTTAGCCTGATATAAAAAGATGGCACTAGATGTCTGGCGGCACTTGTTCTGGGTCCTGAAATACGTATGACGTGGCGACATTAAGCACTAGCAACCCCATGCAGTGCACAGCTTAGGTTGTTAATAAATACGTATTATGGAATTATTATACGTAAGAAAGGCCAATCACACTTCACACTGTAGGCACTTGTGAATGAGTAATTGCATGAGCAAGCTCTATTATGCCTGCAAAAAATTTTAGGATGAAACATTGCCAATCCAATTCATGTTTATAAAGGACAATTCTAAGTGAAGTAACAGCCACTGAGTATTTCAGTCCCAACAGTTATCACTAGCAAAGGGAGTACACTTTGGGGAAGTGCTTCTGAAATTATAAAATCGTGCAGCAAACAGGTGTCAGTAGAGTCTCAACAGCACATGTAGACTGTGCCACAATAGCAATGGCTTGGGGAACTTGGTGCTGCTTTCTCTGTACTCTTGCAGCAAATATCCAGTTGGCCACCAGTTGCCACACCTGGCACTACTACAACAATGCCACAGGAAAGTGTGAGTGTGAATTTGGCCTACACTGCAGCATTGATGGCAACCAGGTGGAGATTGACAACGGTCACTGTGCAACTTCCTCAGAGAGAGAAGGTGACTACTATATTGGGTATTGTCCATTCAGGCACATTATAAACAATACCAACCGATGGTATTCAGAGATGCCAAGCAATGCTAGCCAGTTGGATGAGGTGATGTGTGGTCCTTACAACAGAAGAGGTTTTCTATGTGGGGAGTGTAAGGAAGGCTACGGTCCTGCTCCTTTTGGTCTGAAATGCACTAATTGTTCAAGTGCCTGGTCAGGATATGCTATTTATCTATATCTACTACTTCAGTTTGTTCCAACGACGTTAATATTTATTGGATTGGTAATGTTTCGTCTCAAACTGACCTCAGGCCCACTATTGGGGTATGTGCTGTTCTGCCAAATGAATGTGATATACTTGGATCATGTAATATACTTGGGTCAGGGACTACACATGTATGGATACATAAAATCAAATGTATCAGTATCTCTGAAAGTATTGTTAACATTTTCAGACACAATGAGTCAGTTTTGGAACCTCCAATTTTTCAAGACCATACTACCACCATTTTGTATCGGTGACAATGTAACTGGTATTCAGGCTCACATGCCGAATTTCATACCAGCGATCTACCCATTTGTTCTTATCATCATCTCCTGTATTCTCATGGACCTGCATGCTAGAAATGTTAAAATCATTAGAATTCTGTCAAAACCATTTACGATATTTTTCAGCAAGGCTAGTATCACAGCAGTGACTGGTGATGCTGTGTTTCAAGCTTTTGCTTCACTTATTTTCCTCTCCAACACTTCTGTGCTTACTGCTTTTATTGCAATAGTACGCACTACAAATGTGTACAACTCAACTAAGATTTTTCAGAGACAAGTTCTTTACCTTGACCCAACAGTGGAGTGGCCAAGTTACAAGTGTCTCCCTTACTTGCTTATTGCAGTACTTGTCTCACTTTCTATCTCAGTGATTCCCTCTGTCCTTCTGTGCTTATACCCAACAAGAGTGTACCGACATCTGTCAAGGTTTCTGAGTGCCAGGAAGCGACTGGCCATCACAGCATTTGCTGAGGCTCTCCACAGCTGTTTCAAAGATGGTCTCAATGGAACTCACGACTACAGAGCACTGGCTGGAGCACAGTTTTTTCTTTTCCTATTAAGCGCTGTGGCTAACAGGTTTCTTGGCTTTCTCAATGGTATAACTATGGATGTTGTGACTACATACACAGTACAAATACTTCTGTGGACGATGTTCGTATGTCTGGTCTCATATGTGAAGCCATGCAAGTCAGCAATTGCAAATGTATCACTCAGTTTTCACCTAATTCTGTTTGGAATTCTCATGTGTGTACGTTTCCTGTGGTGGTATGATTCTTATGCCAGAACCTACCCACTTGAACTGACATTCATTGCCACTCTTCTTACACCACACATCCTGGTGGCTCTGTGGGCTGGCTATACCTTGACCAAACACACACTGACAAGGTTTGGATATCAGTTCAATGGCCCTGGTTGCAAGGTGGCATTGAGTGACATGGCAAATAGTGTGAGACGGTGTCTCTCCAGAAGGTACAGGGGATATCAGGAGTTGCAAGAGCAAAGCGACACCACTGAGTGATGAAGAAATGTTGTAGACGGGACAAGAAACTAATTGTACCCACATAACACTTTGCAATGGTCTTGTTTATTACACTGAAGGTGCAAACCCTCGCGCATATATGCGTTACCGCCAATTGATGGGTTGGGCCAAGTGTATGCGTGATCTCCACGATAGTAGCTCGCGGAGAGTCTGACAAGGTGCTAACTACACAAGTAGATAGCATGCGGGAGTCGATACGTATTAGTTAACGTATAGGCGGCGAGGCGGTACAGGAGATACTCCGAGGCTGTTGACTATACCGGACGAGGGCGTAGCCCGAGGCGCGGTATAGTTAACAGCCGAGGAGGATTTCCTGTACCCGCCAAGACGCCTGACGTTAACTGATTTGTAGTCCAACTAGCCAATCACAATGCTGAATTTCTGCTGCGTCATCTTGCACTAATTACTAATGACTGTTGTGTAAACTTTGGAAGCCAGACAATTTGCACTACGCCTAGCGCTAGATGTTGTGATAAGGACTTCCTGTCCAATACTGATACCGGTGCAGCCCGCAGCCCACAGCTCAGAATACAGCGTATATTCCTAGCACCGGGTTGTTTGAAGTTGGACTACAAACGCCCTTCGTTGTGACGTCTTAGTACACAGAGCGAGCGAATCAGGTCCAGGTAAGCCCAGTTCGATTATAGCTATTGGCTTTTTCGCTTGTTTTCACTGCATATTTTTCGAACGCAGTCGTTTCAGGAAAATCACCTTTTTAGTTTTCAGGCTAACGTAATTCTGAAGCCGCTGGTATCGCTAATAGGCTGCCTCGTGGCTTGTAGTGCCCTCAACAGAGACACCGACGCGACGGACAGACAAACACCATCGCTGCGCATGCGCACACGCGTGCCGAGGGTTAATAAGTGTTTACTAAACAAAGATGGTTGACTGCCCACCATGTACCGTATTTCTTTGCTGCACCTACTGTACACAAGTGGAAAATCATTCTTCAAAATGAAGGGGGATATAGGGATGGCTTGAAGTACCAAATAGGCCAATGATTCTTTGCACAACCACTCCTATTCCTATGGGATGGACACCTGGGGATTTGTCAAGAGGACAAGGCGGCAGGATGTGTATATAGCCTAGCAAGGAAGATGGGTCAATGAACGTGGTTGAGATTCTTCGAGCAACTCTTGCTAGGGCTGTGACGAGGTCGTTGGACTTTTGCCCAAAGGCAGTACATATAGTCGTCTCCAGCTGAGGGCATCCAGTCCAGACGGTCCAGCACTCAGCACCTTGCGTATGAAGTGCGTCAGCCCGGATAGACTGCTGTGAGAGAGTCAAAAATAGTTGGATGGAAGCTATTGTCATCTGCATCTCCTAAGAGAACATCTGGGTGTACTGGGTTTGGATGTGGGTGTTTGTCTTCGAGAACCTCTCAGACAGTTTCAATTAACGACCTATACGCGACGCTGAATACGACGTATTGTTTGTGGAGCAATTGATCGCTCATGTAAGGAGATGTCGAGTAACAGACTGACAGACACACACAACTATACAGTAACCCCTCCTGTGCATTTTCACCTAAGACAGGCAAATAGCCATGCAGGAAACATCGTGAAGGTTTTAAGACGTAAACCCTTGGCAAATAATACATGCAGTGAGGGCTGCAGTGACTGTACCAGTATGACGACACAATGACTTATTGCAATCCGTTTCATTCCTAGCTGTCCTGGAAGGAAGAGGTCCAAGCTACATACAAGCAACCACCACCTCGCCCCATCACAGCTCCACACGACCCCAGAGCAACACACATTGGCCACACAACAACACACAAACACTGACCTGCTATTCCACACATCCAGGACTGTAGACATCCACACAAAGATTTATTAAAACTTTTCTACCACTTTCAGTGAACATTGTTGTTAAAAGCAAATAGAACACTCTATTGGCTGGTGGTACAGTAGAGACAGAAATGGAAGAAGAGGGTAGCGGGTTCTGGTGTGAACTATTGACAAGAAGTAACTTAGAAACTCATGGACTACTGGGGTTTTGAGTGCACTTCATTGTTATTGGCAAAAGTTCAGGGATGAGGCAATAATATCAAGGCATCACCACGTGAGGGTTTTCAGTCAATTAAGTTGGTTCATGTAAAGATGACAGTTTTAATCTGGTGCATAACAAAGGTATGAAGCTATCTCAAAGGCCACAGGAAGGTAGTGCAGACGTGGTAACAGACAGACTGACAGACTGACAGACCGACGGACTGACAGACACACGTACTTTCGGGACAACTACCGTAACCCTCGCTGCGCATGCGCGCCGAGGGTTAATTAGCTTCCGGTATAAATAACTTCCGGGAGCATAACACAAGTAGCCACGTGCACTCTAAAACAAGTGTCAATAGTATATAGTAGGCTATATTTTTGCTTTTTAACGCATGCGCACTAAGACGACGACGGTGCGTCGTATATATAGAAAATTCGAGCCGAAAAGACACGACTAGGTGGGCTCGCCCCGCTCGCCCCGCTCGCCCAATTATTTCTAAATTTTTACACATTTTCACACACAGTGCCTAGCCTCGCCGTTCGATCTAGCCAGCTAGAGAACTCTCCTCCATTCGACGGCATGCGCTGCAACCTTCGGTGACTGACCGAGGCTGTACCTCTTCCCAATCTTCATGGTTCCAAACTGCAACTTGCAAATACGCTAGGATTGTTCAGCTGCCTGGTGGACCAGCTAACACACGCCCCGTTGTCGGGCAGCCTCATATAGATCGCTGCCTAGCCTACTGCCATCGACCGTTCTGCTCCGTTCTGTCGATGTACAATACGCATGTAACGGCGACAGGTAGCTCTGTCTTGCTTCACGAAAGGAAAGCTGTGCGCTGACGGCACGTTATGCCAAGTTGGGTCGCTCCCGCTCGCCAACAATGTTCAACATTTTTTCTAGTAATATTATGCAGTGAGGAAGAACTCTGGACTAGTCTTTATTGACAGGGAACTAACCGAAGTGAGGGCTACAGTGACTGTTACCAGTATGACGACACAATTACTTCGTTTCATTCCTAGCTGTCCTGGAAGGAAGAGGTCCAAGCTACCAACAAGCAACCACCACCTCGCCCCATCACAGCTCCACACGACCCCAGAGCAACACACATTGGCCACACAACAACACACAAACACTGACCTGCTATTCCACACATCCAGGACTGTAGACATCCACACAAAGATTTTAAAAAACTTTTCTACCACTTTCAGTGAACGTTGTTGTTAAAAGCAAACAGAACACTCTATTGGCTGGTGGTACAGTAGAGACAGAATGGAAGAAGAGGGTGGCGGGTTCTGGTGTGAACTATATATTGACAAGAAGCAACTTAAAAATTCCTGGACTACTTGGGTTTTGAGTGGACTTCATTGTTATTACATTTCAACAAAAGTTCAGGGATGAGGCAATAATATCAAGGCATCACCACGTGAGGGTTTTCAGTCAAACTAAGTTGGTTCATGTAAAGATGACAGTTTTAATCTGGTGCATAACAAAGGTATGAAGCTATCTCAAAGGCCACAGGAAGGTAGTGCTGAGGTCACTTTTCAGACCACTTCCTTCTCACCACCCCTCCATTGATGTAAGTAAGTCTCTCATGTATGCATAATTGTCCACACAACAGGTTGCAAGAATTGAACTAGAATGTTGTCTGTTGCATGGCATCACATCTGAAGGTGCTGGTCTCATGGCACAAAGTTGATCGTTTAGCTACATGTTGACCTTTAGAAGCAGCAGAATTCAGACTGACTAGCAATTCATTCTCTCACATTTTGAAATAATATTAATGGTAACACAAACATACAAGTCTGTTATGATACAACATAAAACAAAAATAAACAGAGCTAAGAACAAAATAACAGACAGAGCAGTACATCAGCGACAGTCATCTGACACACATTACACATAACAAACACACACACGAAAATACATGTGAATTGGCACTAGGCATTGTGTGACCGTGGCGACAGCTCTCTCACTCTCTCTCGTTCTCTCTCGCTCGCTCGCTCTCACACGCTCGCTCGCTCGCACTCCCGTTCACATAATGTAGAGAGTTCAAGATTTCTGTGAGGAAAGAAGAAAATGAAAATATTGTTAAGAATAGACTACTATTATACACTTTAAGATACACAATGATTGCTGGTATGCAACTTTACACACTGATCTCTGCTAGGTCTGCATTGCGAGCTTAAAATAATAGCTACTTTCCTCACTCCCGAAATAAAGCTAAAGCTCCCACATTCATGGCCCTTTATGTATACATTATTCCCTCCATCCCCACTGACCACTTTTGTAGAGCCTTCATCTCCTTCAGGGCCCAGGAACAGAGGGTCTTTGTGCGTTTGGTGCGAGAGGACTTGCCCTCCTGCAGCAGCTTCATGATGTTCAGACTGGGGCTCTTCTGCAGCTCACTCAGCAGGGCCTTCCCATAGGCAGAGCACAGGTCACTGTGGGCCAGGGATGCATAATATTATTTTGGTCGATGGTATAACCCAAGTCTGGTGCTCCGCCCCTAGTCTCGTGCCCATAACTATCATGTGGAAAATGGGTCTGGTAACTACTGACACACACTTCTTGGTCCTAGCTTTTGAAATCGAGATCTCCAATCAGATCGCAGAACAGCCAATCAACGTCACATGCATCGGTAGTCTGTAAGCTGGACTCTGTACACTAGAAGAGTGGTTCAGATACTACCGACAGGACGTCTTCAGGACCAGGTTTTGCATCAGATGCTCCTTCCCTCTAGTGGGTGGAGTGGCTGGGTACAAGACTAGGTGCCGCCCACTTTGGTGTCAAACTTTTATCTTTGTACACGATGGTACCAACAACTTTGCTGTAAGTTACAGGTCTAAAACCAGTAGAGTGGAGCCAGTAGAGTGGAACCTCCTAAAACACTATGGGGCTGACGATTTTGTCCCCTGTAGAGAGGTCGTCCCTATATTTAATACACTAAAATATTAGTATGGCATCGAACAAAGTGTCCTTGTAGATTAGTCGTCCAAATCCCTTATCGGAGGTTCCACTGTACTGGACATACCCATGGATGCCATGTTCCCTATCTTATACCATGGAGGTAAGCACTAATTGAGGAGATACTCACCCAAGCAGCCCAGCACAGCATGCAGTGACACCATCAGATCTGTCCTCATCTTTAGCCACGTGCTCAATAAACTGGAAGAGGAACGGTACCTCGGGCGTCATCAGCTGTAGGTGCCCTGACAGACACACAGGCAAAAAGGAAAGACAGACAGACAGACAGAGGGACATTATGTGACTCAATTGAATTTTCTCTCGTTACAGAACCCACCATACATCGTCCTATTGTGCATGCTTAATGCACTTGAAATGAAAAGCACTTGAAAGTGAATAACCCTCGCCACTGTTGATTATGGAGCTTCAATAGTAGTTTAGTAGAGCCTACATTCAGCACTACCTCCGTGACTATTGGAAACTGTTCTCTTGTTAGGAGCCATCACTCAAACAGTACTTTCGTGTCACCATTTGGCCACCTAGTGAAATCTGCACAGAGGTTCTTGTTTGGTAAGGACCACTTTATTGCAGAGTGTACATAACTCTCCAGGTCTCAAAGCCTTAGCTACCAATAGTTTTAGTAGGTGTCCATATCACAAATAATAATATGAAAAGCACTGAAGTGCAAACCCTCGGCGAACTGCACATGCGCGGTACCGCTAATTGATGGGCTGGGCTATTAGTGTGCGTTTACTCGCGGTCTCCCCCTCTAGTAGCTCGCAGAGAGTCTGACACGGGCTAGCTACAGTAATAGATAGCATGCGAGAGTCGCTACACGCCATTCATTGTGACTTCTTGTGCCTTCAAGATACACAGAGCAAGCGGACCCCGTCGAGGTAAGCCTGTGCTAAATATAAGCGCATGCGCATTTTCCGCAGCGATAAAATGGCGTCTACCGGCATTAGCCGTATATACAATGCTGGATGCGCTCTAGCTTTGCAACGGAGCATTTTTAGAGAAAACCGCACATAATTTCTGACCTTCATTGCCCGTTAAATAGATCGTGTCCTTTGTGAGACGAACAAACATCCCGAGAAGTGAGATTGAGAGTAACACACAGACAGACAGACCCAACTACTGTAACTCTCGCTGCGCATGCACGCCGAGGGTTAATGACGTGTCCTGTGCAAGAACTGTTCTTGTTGAGAAAACTTGAGTACACGTACACGCATACTCATTTCAGGGGGTCCTTAGAGGGGTTACACTGTATGTAATAATGGCAGGGGCTCACCACTGGTACTGCCTTCCTCTCCCTTGAGACCCTGCACTATGCCAGTATAGGCCTCCAGACAGCCTTCCCTCAACTCATTGATGTAGTCCACCATCTCAAAGTCATTCTGTGTTCAGAGATTAAAAAGCTTCAAGGATAAGAAAACCTGATACCCTCACCATAGCTAAGCATGTCAAACAACTGCAAATAGCACCTTTGCATGCACAAAATAGTGACCTCATCAGTGTCTTACTTATAGGGAACGTGGCAGCATACAAGGGCTAAACTGTTACTAAAACTGAAGTTCTTTCACTGGGCCCGTTCCATCTAAGTACCATTTCTAAACTTAGCCCTTATGACTGTCACATCCCCTTTGACTTATACAAAGAGAGCACACCTTGTTGATGGTCACATTAAGCTGAGCAGCCTCCTTGAGTATCTGGAAGACAATGGTCAGGTAGACCTTGAAACCACTGCCAATGGATAGCGCCACGTCGCCTATGGTACTGAGGATCTGTGGCTTTATGCTGCGATGGACGGCCGCATTCTTGAGACCGAGAGGAAAAAAGTGTTAGAGTGCATCGAATAAAATTGAACAGAAAAAGCAATAGATGTATTTCCCCCACAATCAGGTTGAGGATAGAGAATAAATGGTTTGGTTATGTGGTCAATGAAGTTGCATTTAATACCTTGAGGGGCATACCTATGTATTGGCCGAGAGGGAGAACAAGTGAAGAGATTGCAATGAAGAAAAGTAGAGCATATGGATAAAACGTTTCTTCATAGAATTAGGTTCATTAAGTTTAATCTCATCAAGGGCACACCCATGTATAATCTTGAACAGTCCATCCCACAAGGAAAGGACCTGATTCAGCCTAATTACGTCATTGACTAGGGGCTCACCGAGAGATTGTCGACCATGATCTCCATAATGCTGTTGCAGTAAGGCAACATCTTGGCCGTGAGGGTACGGCACAGATCACCCACCAGCCCAACTGCTGCCTGGCAAACCTATGGCAGGATAGAGACCTCCATGCTGCACCTGCTTAGAATTAACACGTCATGCAGAAAAGCACACACAAGCAGAGAGGGTCTAGCTCAATAGACTAGGTGACATATACAGTTTATAGATTGTCTCTAATCGAAACGAGAACTATGTTTTGAGCACATATAAAATGGATACTTATTAACCCTCGGCGCGCATGCGCAGCGAGGTTTACAGTAGTTGGTTTGTCTGTCTGTGTGTCGACGTTTATTCTGGCACTTCAGGCTATGAGCGATACCAGCGGCTTCAGAACTACGGAACCTGAAAATAAAAGGGTGATTTTCCTGAAATGACTGCATTCGAGAGATATGCCGTGAAAGCAAGCGAAAAAGCAAATATGCACATTCGCACTGGGCTTACCGCGACCTGATCCGCTCGCTCTGTGTACCTTGGGGGCTCAGGAAGTCAAAATGAATGGCATGTATCGACTCCTGCATGCTACCTACTACTGTAGCTAGCCCGTGTCAGACTCTCCGCGAGCTACTAGCGGGAGACCACGAGTAAACGCATACTAATAGCCCAGCCCATCAATTAGCAGTATGGCGCATGCGCAGTTCGCCGAGGGTCCACCTGATAGGAAACGTGAAATCTCATATGTATGGGCATGATGCTGGATAACCTGTGTCATTCCTTAGTGCTGTAGTTTTGTTAATTGACAGACTTGGCGCAATTTTGGCAGAAAGGCTGTTTCGAGACTTACATCATTTCGAGCACGCACTAAATGGATATATACTTCTTCCATTATGTATAGTTGGAACCTGATAGGCAGCATAGTTCTGGAGAGCCAGTTTGAGGAAAGGGAAGAACACCTCCATGTAGTGCTGGAAATCCTCACCCAGTACTATTGGAGTGGAGGAGAAGAGAACCACTATTCTTGACCACATAATTATAATATGTACATCCGAACACGTTTCTATTATTATTAACCCTCGGCGCGCATGCGCAGCGAGGGTTACTGTAGTTGTCGTGTGTGTCATTCAGTCATTCATTCTGTCAGTTAAGTGAGAACTCACTTCTCCAGTCATAGATCGCGTCCAAAACGGGTTTACATACCCAGCGGCCGACGGAGGTCAGAAAATATGTGGGATTTTCTCTGAAACTGCTTCGTTGCAGAGCTAGAGCGTTTTCCTGTTCGTACGGTACGGCAAAGGCGGCCATTTTAACAACGCGCATGTGTGTATACACCAAAACGCACGCGACTCCGAGGCGACAGGCGGCCAAAGCGGCGCACGCTGATTGGGACCACGTGGCCAGCAGCCATTTTCCCGACAGAGAAGACGGTTGAGTTCAGTAAGTATACCTCCAACTAAGGCGTTTGGCTCACTAGGTTAGGCTTGGGAGGTAAGAATAATCTTATCTATGAACCTAAATACAGCACCAGTAAGTACTACCAGACCTGGTGATATAATTGTGCGTGTGTGTTCACTATTATCACAGCGCCGAGGGTTTGCACTTCAGTGCCTTTCATTGTATATGTAGTTTCAGGCATGCTGAGAAGTATCCCTTGACAGGCAGAGAGAAAACACAGACACGAGTTATTGGATATTGTCTGTCGTTCATCCATTTTCTAGCTTTACTATAGTAACCCATGCCAAACACAGACACACATACATAGGACCATCAACAATGGAATATGGACAGCTCACCTTCCACCAGTACCCCGACAGTCATGAGTGCGTCCTCCAGGACCCCAGAGCTGGACCCGGCTGCACTGGTCTGGAACATGAGGAGCAGGGCCTCCATGACGGACGAGGAGATGGTGAGAGCGTCTTCGCGGCTGACTTTCCTCACCAGGCTCTGCAGCGTGGCACAGATGAGGGACTCGAGGTCCGCCAGTTGCTGCTTGTCTGCCCCACTCAATTGGCCTCCCTGCACACGAGAAGAAGGGCTAGTGAGGTAGAGGGAGAAGGAACATGGTTGGTGTTGAGCAAGAAAACTACCACCTCTCCTTACAGCAGGAAGTTATTGATGAAGATAACATGCAAAATGTGGCAGGTAGCAGGTAGCTGGGACAACCTCCACAGTTCGTCAAACTAACAAGTTTCACAGGTAGCTAACTAACTCTACAAGTCTGCGATTTGCAAAGATGAATTCCACCATTGGTGTACAAATGCTAACTTATAGAATCAAATCTCCGTGCACTACGCATGTAAACGGTTCTGCACAGTGTGCTCAACACACGTGGAAGCTTAGCTACTCCAGAAGTCTAACCTGCGGTTCCACGTTGCAAGTAATTCCCTGGTACAGAATTTAGGTATGTTGGGTCAAACAGAGTGGTATATGCCTAGCAGGACAGCCTCAATGTTAGTGTAGGGGATGTGTGAGCTCACAGCATCAACAGTAAGGATCTGTCTCAGTCTGTCCATCATGACCTGCGTCGTCTTCTGGATCACCACATAGCAGTCCTGTACAATAACACACAGTATTATACACACAGAGCACCGTGTGTAGTTCAGGAGAGCATATAAGGCATTCTACTTAATCTGGCATTCTCAAAGTAACGATATCAGCTATAGCCAAGAGCACATGATAAAATGAAAGTGCAAACCCTATGCGAACTGCGCATGTGCAATACTGCTAATTGCTGGGCTATTTGTATGTGTTTACTCATGTTCTCCTGCTAGTAGAGTTCTGACACTGGCTAGCTACAGTAGTAGATAGCATGCGGGAGTCGATACATGCCATTCGTTGTGACTTCCTGAGCCCCCAAAGGTACACAGAGCGAGCGGATCAGGTCGCGGTAAGCCCAGTGCGATTATGCATATTGGCTTGTTTTCACGGCATAACTCTCGAACGCATGAAAATCGCCCTTTTATTTTTCAGGCTCGCGTAGCTCTGAAGCCGCCGGTAGGCCGCCTCGTAGCCAGAATAGGCGTCGACACACAGACAGACAAACCAACTGCTCACCTTGGCACTGTACTTGATGAGGTCCATGAGAGCCTCGTAGGCCGATGTCCGCAGGTTATTCTGGCTGGCATCAGGTCTACCAGTCAGACACAATACAACACACACACACAAAGATTCTTTCAGGAGGGAATACACATGATCACATAGGTAATGATTTTCATTTTTCCTGCCAGAATCCATCGCAGTCCAATCAGATTACAGCTTACAAGTGATTTAAATAAGACCAGCAACCACAAGCTAAGGAAGAGTGTTAAAGTTGTGAGCTCATACACAGTTTCAGAGATGTTGACAACATAGGCTAGTAGATACACCGCTGCAGTCATACGCATGCAACGAAAGTAAGCATGCATGTGATGACAAGCGCTTGGCAAAATTGTGAAGGAAGAATGGGCATTCTGATGCAGGGTTACAATAAGTGAGGATGGCCTTTTTCGCAACACTCCCAAACTCCTCCCATCACCCAAACGTGCATATACCCATTTTTACCTATCAGCTGTCTGCATGACTTTGGTGACTAGAAATTCAAAGGCACCAGAGAGGGAGTAGGTGGCTGGCTCTGTGTCCTCGTCAGTGCAGGCCAGTTCATAGGCCGACTCGGCCAGGGACGAGAATGCCTGGGTGGGGGTGGGCAGGGCAGGGACAGAGGGGGTGGAGTAGGAGGATGACAATAGAGAGAGGAGGGGGAAGAATCAAGGGAGAACACCAACTTCCCAAACATAATAATACACTAGCAACACATTTTTGGTAAGCGAAACGAGCAGTGCATTTTGTGTGTATTTTAAGCACGTAAAACATTACGCGGTGTCTAAAAATAATATATGTATAGGTTAACCCACATGTATAGGGGGGAATACTCCTGAGGTGCTTATGAGTACCACACGGGGCGGAGCCCGACGGCAGTAGTGATAAGCACCAAGGGTACAGACCCGTATTATGCTTTCCAAACCCATGGGGTTAACCGATTTGTAGCCTAGAAAACTCGGACAGTAGTCTCACGAAGCCAGTCCTGCTGGGTGCACAAGACCACTCAGACAGATTTCGTGTCGCTTTTTCAAAACAGTACGAATCGCGTGACAGCTAAGTGTTAGCATTTGCGCAAGCGAGAATTGGTTAGAGCCTGGAGAAACAACCCACCAAGGAAGCAAAAACCCATCCAGCGACAAAACTAGCGTCTGTACCTCCCGAGGTTACTGAGTGCCAGTGTTTTTCACGAAGCTCCGCTCTGCCACAAACGGAATGGCCAATTAACGCCGGTGTGCAAGGAATATACTTGACCAGCGTCAGCAATATTCAGTGGCGGTTGCGGGTATTACGAATATACCATTGTCAGCTTTTATTCCTATGGTTTCTAGTCTACATAATAGAAAAATCCCTTCGTTCAGACGACCAGGAGGGCTTGGTTCGCTCGCCTATTACAGCTTTCCAGCACACATGTAATCATAAGGAATGTGAGGAGAGGGAGGAGAGAGGGGAAGGGGAGAGGAATGACATTTTAATGCCATGAATTTTCACCCCCTGTTGCCAAATGCTGAAATAATTACCCTGCAGCCAATCAATTGACCAGAGCACGTATATGGGTGCAATGCGTTGCACTCAACACGAACATCTGTGTCTAGTCCACAAAGGGTGTTTACACTTCAGTGCTTTACATTGCAGCTTTAACGGATTTTACAGATTTTATTGGCAGGCAAAGCAAGCCTACCTAAATGGGTGTATATTAATTAAGGGAGCATACAGTTGAGCACAAACAGTACAAGCTATGCTTTTAAGAAAGTATCTTGCTAAGTCTGAAAGAGTTTAAGTGCTCACAGACACTGCATTTGCACCAGAGATTTGGTCACAACTTTATAGAGAGAGACCAAAGCTTTGGCTCCCAGTTAACGACAGCAGCAACACAGCGCTAACACACAGATTAGCATCATGTCTGTCTGCTTCATATTTTGCCAACGGTCTGCATCTCCTTATATCTCCCAAAGCACAAAGACAACTGCTGTATGATTTCAAGTCCTATCTAAGTTTTCTTAACTAAAAGGGGCACTTTAGCTTGTCTTGATGGTTCAGTCAATAGCTACATGTCAGTAGGTCTCACCATGGACATAGAAATGGTAAACACGTTAAAACCTGCAGTGAAGTATATAGGAACTAATCTGAAGTTGGTGTGACCAGCATGTGTCTGTGGCTGTTGTTTGATGTGCATGACTGACGATATTTTACAAAAATGACAACATGTGTCTGTCATCCATGTGTTCTTAGCCTGATATAAAAAGATGGCATTAGATGTCTGGCGGCACTTGTTCTGGGTCCTGAAATACGTATGACGTGGAGACATTAAGCAGTAGCAACCCCATGCAGTGCACAGCTTAGGTTGTTAATAAATTATTATGGGGTTACATTTATATTTTACATAACAAAGGCCAATCGAACTTCACACCGTAGGCACTTGTGGACGAGTAATTGCTATTATTATGCCTGAACAAATTTTTAGGATGAAACATTGCCAATCAACTTCATGTTTATAAAGGAAAATTCTAAGTGAAGCTGAGGTGAGTTTTTTAGTCCCAACAGTTATCACTATAGCAAAGAGAGAGTACACTTTGGGGAAGTGCTTCTGAAATGAAAAAGCACTGAAGTGCAAACCCTCGGCAAACTGCACACGCGCGGTACCACTATTTGATGGGCTGGGCTTTATGCGTTTACTCGTGGTCTCCACGCTAGTAGCTCGCGGAGAACCTGACACGGACGAGCTACAGTAAATAGCATGCGGGAGTCGATACACGCCCTTCGTTGTGACTTCTTGTGCCTTCAAGATAGACAGAGCAAGCGGACCCGGTCGAGGTAAGCCTGTGCTAATAATGCGCATGCCCAGTATTTCAGTCCCAACAGTTATCACTAGCAAAGAGAGTACACTTTGGGAAAGTGCTTCAGAAATTATAAAAACCTCAGCTATCATCAAACAGGTGTGAGTGGTCTCAACAGGACATGTAGAGAGTGCCACAAGACCAATGGCTTGGGAAACTTGGTGCTGCTTTCTCTGTACTCTTGCAGCAAATATCCTGCTGGCCACCAGTTGCCCAACCTGGCACTACTACAACAATGCCACAGGAAAGTGTGAGTGTGGATTCTGGCTACTCTGCAGCAGTGATGGCAACCAGGTGGAGATTGACAACAGCCGCTGTGCCACCTCCTCAGAGAGAGAAGGTGACTACTACATTGGCTTTTGTCCATTCAGGCACGTTATAAACAATACCAACCGATGGTATTCAGAGATGCCCAGCAATGCTAGCCAGTTGGATGAGGTGATGTGTGGTCCTTACAACAGAAGAGGTTTTCTATGTGGGGAGTGTAAGGAAGGCTACGGTCCTGCTCCTTATGGTCAGAAATGCACTAATTGTTCAAGTGCCTGGTCAAGATATGCGATTTATCTATATCTACTGCTTCAGTTTGTTCCAACGACGTTAATATTTATTGGATTGGTAATGTTTCGTCTCAAACTGACCTCAGGCCCACTATTGGGGTATGTGCTGTTCTGCCAAATGAATGTGATATACTTGGATCATGTAATATACTTGGGTCAGGGACTACACATGTATGGATACATAAAATCAAATGTATCAGTATCTCTGAAAGTATTGTTAACATTTTCAGACACAATGAGTCAGTTTTGGAACCTCCAATTTTTCAAGACCATACTACCACCATTTTGTATCGGCGACGATGTAACTGGTATTCAGGCTCAAATGCTGAATTTCATACCAGCGGTCTACCCATTTGTTCTTGTCATCATCTCCTGTATTCTCATGGAGCTGCATGCTAGAAACGTTAAAATGATTGGAATTCTGTCAAAACCATTTACGATCATTTTCCGCAAAGGCTAGTATCACAGCAGTGACTGGTGATGCTGTGTTTCAAGCTTTTGCTTCACTTATTTTTCTCTCCAACACTTCTGTGCTTAGTGCTCTTACTCAGTTATACACACCACAAATGTGTACAACTCAACTATGATTCTCAGAGACAAGTCCTTTACTTGGACTCAACAATGGAGTGGCCCAGTTAAATATTACTTGCTTATAGCAGTACTTGTTCTATTACAGTCTCAGTGATTCCCTCTGTCCTTCTCTGCATATACCCAACAAGGGTGTACCGACATCTGTCAAGGTTTCTGAGTGCCAGGAAGCGACTGGCCATCACAGCATTTGCTGAGGCTCTTCACAGCTGTTTCAAAGATGGTCTGAATGGAACTCGTGACTACAGAGCACTGGCTGGAGCACAGTTATTTATCATCCTTTAGGCACGTGGCTATCATGTTTCTTAATTTTCCTCAAGGCTCATAATTAGAGAGTCGGTAGACTCTCTATATAGGATGACACGGGTGAAATCTCACGTGATCCGCGTACAAAACGACTAAAAACTCGGTGAGAATCACTTCCTAGGCCTTCAAAACACACTAGCAATAGTCTACGGGCCCATATCTACCTATACATGTCCCCCAAGAGCTCATACGCACCATCAGTCGTCCACGCGAGAATTCGACTCATACGCGATTTCACGATTTTCGTGTCATCATATTCTTCATTTCTTCTTCTTCTTCTTCTTCTTCTTTAAACCCCGCTATCTCCTTACCAGTACCAGTTCAAGCACTGATTTTTTCACTGAAGGTCTCCAATTTCGCCGGAGGTGTGCACGGACATCAAGCGATCGTTTCTTTCTTGCCGCTAGTCACTACGGTAGATCATGGAGCTCTTCCATGGTCGACACTGAACAACGCCATTTGCTGCTTACTCAGCATCCGTGACCTCGCGCATGCGCCAAGCAGGGGCGTTGTCCAATGCAGCGTGAGTGGCAGACCTGCAGAGGAACTCTCAGCCTCCAGTACCTTCTGTAAGTAAGTGTGCACATTTCCAACTGGCTAGCTTGCTGTTGATTTGCACGAAGAGCAACTTCCCAGAGTCTGCGCGGTGTTACGCGAGCCTTGCAGGGCGCTGAAATGGGCCTTCATTGTTTGTCCCCCCCAGGTTGTAGCCTGATTACCAAAGGCTGCCCATGAAACCACAACTATGTGCAATAATCTAATTACATCCTTGTTGAAGACAATACATGAGGTGAATGCGGTATCTAGCCCCTGCTTCAGGCACTAGCAGCCCCATTAGCTACTACTTCAACAGTTACAATTTGTCTATGGTAGCCTATCTACAACATACCCATGAACATCAGAGTGACTGTAACAATATATACAGTGTTGTCATAAGCTGTTAAAAATAGTGGAAACAAGTGGAAAAATCATTTCTTCAAAATGAAAGGGGGATATAGGGATGGCTTGAAGCACCAAAAAGGAAGAAACAAGGGGTCATTACACAGCAAAGTTGCACAAAGCTACATGACACCATCCCTATATCTTGTTTATTGTTTATAAGCAAAGTTTAAGCAGAAATTGATGTATAACATATTAACGCCTATATAGTATTATAGACATATATAAATTCTTATGGACTTATGGAGGCTCTGGGCATATATATATATGCCCGTGGCTTGCTAAGGGTTAATATCGAACAAAGATATAGGGATGGTGTCATGTAGCTTTGTGGCACTGTGACTGTGTAATGACCCCTTGTTTCGTC